GCTATGTAAATAATAAAATAATAATAATATGTACAGGAGTGTCATGCCTTGTAACAGGATTGTTATTGGTCTGTGACTTTGTAAATCAATCTCCAATAAGGTCCATGTGGGAGTGCCCCTTGCAGGGGGATTGTCATGAAAGGCCAAGTGTGGTCCCATTAAAGTCAGTCCACTTCACCCTCAACACGCAGCCTCGTCTCGTGATTGTAGGGAACAGCTAGCTCTTGTAAGAGCTATACTCGCTTAGAGGAGAGGCCTTCCCACTGGGAACTGGATCCAGGAGTTTGGTCCAGGGTGTGAAGGGACGGCGAGACCCCAGCCAACTGCGGTGGCTAGGGGGGCTGCGGCGCTTATGGTGTCCGGTGCGGTGCTTATGGTCCTCAGCGTCAGCTAGGAAGCATAGATTGGCGGAGGCACCCAGTCGGGGTGCCAGGCGGTCCATTACAATGCCAAAAATTTCAACCTCTGTGGTCAGAAGTCCAAACCACACTGGATATACTGGGTGTCCCTAACTTCTCTAAAAAGGTTGAAACATATCTGCTCTTGCTCTTTCCCTCCTCAGTCACCAAGGCACACAGACAATTAATAGTCCTCACTCTTCCAACAGCACGCCACCTGCTAGCCCTGAACTGGAAATCCATGCTATGCCCATCTAAAGCTCAATTCTGGGATATAATTCGAAATGTTTCCATATTTCAATGCTTGGCACTAACCGCGAGTAAAGCTACACACACATTCCAGGAAACATGGAAGGTATGGGAAAAAACACATGACAACCACTAACCAACACAAGAGGCACATATGCCTAACACTAGCCCACAAACCCAAGGGGAAACCCACCCAAAACATGCATTCACACCTAATAACGACGGAGAACCACTGCTGTATGTCATCTAATGTACACTCAACTGCATCACCAATTTAATTATGTTAATTAAGCAATAGTATCTACCACAGTTCATTTGTCATAGATTCATCACCGGTAGGATGTTTGATAGTTTGCCGGAAAACAGACACCCTGTTATGTTACATATGTTTCGAGATTACTCTGTATCTGATGTGCACACTTTATGGAACTTGTAGTGTTCACATATAATGATCTTTTTTATTTTTACTGTAAAGTTAAAGGGACACTATAGTCACCCAGACCACTTAAGCTCAATGAAGTGGTCTGGGTGCCAGGTCCCTCAGGTTTTAACCCTTCACATGTAAACATAGCAGGGTTAATCCAACCTCTAGTGGCTGTCTTCCTGACAGCCGCTAGAGGCGCTTCTGCGAAATTCACATCCAGCGTGCAGAACGTCCATAGGAAAGCATTGAGAAATGCTTTCCTATGGACTGTTTGAATGCGCGCGCGGCTCTTGCTGCACATGCGCATTCGCTGATGTCGGCGGGGGAGGAGAGAGCCCGGCGCTGGATAAAGGTAAGTGGCTTAAGGGATTTTAACCCCTTCAGCGCCGAGGGTGACATAGTGTCAGGAAAACGGGTTTGTTTTTCTGACACTATAGTGATACTTTAATACATTACATATTGTTTGCTGTAAAACCAATTAAATTAAATATTTTTACTTTTTTACAATCTAAACAAAACCTATGGTGGAAGGAGTTGGGAGGAAGAGGACTCCTTGGCCTAAGTTTGAGGACTAACTGAGTACCTGTGTCAGTGACCGAGATGTTTTTGTTTTTTTATATTCACTGTTCATAACTTGATTCAAATACATTAAATTAAAGGAGCAATCTAAACCATAACCAGAGGGTCGGTTAGCCCAGCACTCTGAGTAATTCAATGCCATTCAGCTTATATAGTTACATACTAGTCTACGTTAAAAAAAGATTAACTCCATCAAATTCAACCTTGAAACCCATTTTTTTATGCTGTTGATCCAAACGAATGCATAAAAATCAAATTGTAGCTATACCAATTATACCACAAAAAGACAAAAAACATTGTATTTACTCAATAATTGCAATCATATTTCTTCTTGGATCAAGACTCTATTCACACACATATATAATGGATATTGATTACTACTAAGTGTAAATTCAGCATAATAAAAGTGACTGAAGCAACTAGTCTAGGGGGTCAGGGAGAGCACAACATACAGCTCATGATAAAGAAAAAACCATGGGGGGTGGCTCCGATTCTCTTTCCACAATAACTACAATATTGATACTTGGAAAAAAAAAAAAAGAGCTGCACGGTCGAATTGCCAGAAAGAAGCCTTTACTGTGCCAATGCCACAAAAAAAGCCTATTTACAATATTACAACACTTTGACACGCCTCACAGCTTCTGGCAGACTGTAATTTGGTGTGATGAGACCAAAATAAAGTGGACCAAAATAAATATGTTTGGAGAGGGTCAACAAGGTCTACAGTGAAAAGAATACCATACCCACTTTGAAGCATGGTGGTGGCTCACTGATGTTTTGGGGGTTGTGAGCTCTAAGGGCACAGGGAATCTTGTGAAAATAGATAGCAAGATGAATGCAGCATGTAATCAGAAAATACTTGCAGATATTTTGCATTCTTCTGCACGAAGGCTGCGCATAGGACGCTCTTGGACTTGCCAGCATGACAGTGACCCTAAGCACAAGGCCATGTTGACCCTCCAGTGGTTAGAGCAGAAAAAAGGTGAAGGTCTGTAATGGCCATCATAGTTTCCTGACCTTAAAGGACCACTAATAGTGCCAGGAAAACATATTCGTTTTCCTGGCACTATAGGGTCTCTAGGTCCCCCCCACCCTCTGGGCCCCCCACCCGCAGGGCTCTAGGGGGTGGAAGGCGTTAAATCTTATCTTGAACGTGCGACCAAAAACTTTGCATGACCTGGAGGCATTGTGCAAAGACAAATAGGCAGCTATACCACCTACAAGAATTAGGGACATCATAGACAACTATTACAAAAGACTGCACACTGTCATTGATGCTAAAGAGGACAATACACAATATCAAAAACCAAGGTTATGCAGACTTTTGAACAGGGGTCGTTTCATGTTTTTGTTGCCATGTTTCGTTTTGATTGTGCCATTCTGTTATAACCTACAGCTGAATATGAATCCCATAAGAAATAAAAGAAATGTGTTTTGCCTGCTCACTCATGTTTTCTTTAATCATGGTACATATGTTACCAATTCTCCAAGGGTATGCAAACTTTTGAGCACAACTGTATATCTCCATCAGGTAAAGCTCGGAAGGCTACAGCTGCTTTCCCTGATAATTTTCCTGCAAGGATTGGAATCCAGTCTTCCCCGGGTATTTTGTGTAGGGCACACTGCCGTTTAAAGCCCTCGAGATACCCATTGATTTCTTCCTCAGCTTCCTGAAATACCTTAAAGGCGGCAATGGGTATCTTTTTTCGGTCAGGCTGTGTAACGGTATTTCCAGTTGCCGCAGCTCCGGCCCTCTAAATTTTGGCTAGCCGTTTCTGGTGCTCCCTTTTGGCTTGGGCTGCTGCATCGATGTCAGCCAATATCTTTAAGATCACTTCGGTTGGAGGGTTCGGGCTGAATAGAGCTAATTAAGCCTGAACTCCCCACATCTATAGTCCATGGTCTGAGGTACCTTCCCTCCAAAAAGCGCTTATGTGGTTACATGGGAAGTGGGGGAAAACGGGATGAAAGTTAGCCGGGATTTGGGACTAATCGCGGCTGGACCGGAGTTCCAGAAGAGTTGTGCTTAAGTCCCGCTGAAGTCTTTCCAGCTTCTGGACTCCCGTTATGGAATAAGAAAAGAGTGTTCTGTTAGCCTGGAGGGGAAGGTGACATGAGCCAGGGATTGGGACAACAGTCTTTTGACAACAATGTGGGCGGGGTGTTCTGTCACACTACATATTGTATATACATGAATAAATCTCACATACTCTCTCTTAATTTACTCACATTTATAAATCTAATAGAACAATGTATTAACAAACTTACTCTACATGTAAACCTTTGCATGACAAACCCCTTTGCTATACACAAATAGGCTTTCCACACTTACTGTCACTACACAAAAATAAGCATATTCAAGTATATACAGACACTTCTCACTTACCGACTGGGTTCCGTTCCTATGACCCGGTTGTAGAATGAATTGGGCGTTAAGTGAGGAGTTAAGGGATTCCATGCTCTGATGCGTTCGTCTATGTTCAGGGAAGTTTCCCCAAACATGGACATGCGCACCAGAGCAAGGAATCCCCACGACGGTCTGCACTTACACCTGGTCGTAAGTGCGAGATGTCGTGAAGCAGGTAGGTCGCTAAATGAGAACCAGCTGTATATATTTATATAAAAGAAGTGTACGCATTTTTTTGAACAAACAGTAGCTGCATTCAAACTGATTTTACATATTAAAATACAAATGCTAATAAACACTTTAATGTTATAAAGAAAAAGATGTATATCTTACACAATTCCAGCACCCATTTCCCTCAGCGTCAGCCGATGGTGGACCTAATGTGCATGCGTGGCAAGCGCCTCATGTGCGTTAGGCCTTTCCCATAGGACAGCATTGCCTAAATACTTTACTATGGGGTTTTTCCTGACTCTGCATTTTAAACTCCAGGAAGCACCGCTAGTGGCTGTTTTATAATTGTATAACAATACAACCTTTTGGGATTTTCTTTTAACTAAACTTTGAATTGTAGCAAATTAAAATCTGAATGACAAGATTTAGGCTAAAATATCTGATTTTTTAAAAAGATTTAAAAAAAAAAATTTAAAAAAATCACCAGCTCAGCTTTAGCCATAGTTCAACTGATTCAAGTTCACGGAGTTTCGTGAAGCCCCCCCCCCACACACTCAAACACGCCCCGCCCCCCTGAGCCAGCAGCCCCGAGAGGCACGCGCCGCTCTGCCACACAGCCCTCCAGCACCTTCACCATGCGGCACAGCCGCCCCTCCCACCCGTGACCAGCGCAGGCCCCGCCCCCTGCGCCCCCTGATTGGCCGCCCGCCGGCCCGCTCGCGCCCGCTGATTGGCTGCGCGGGGCTGTCCGTTTACCCAGCTCACTGTAGGCCTCGCTGCCTGGCTAAGTTGTGCTTCGCTCGGCCGGTGTGAGACAGGATCCGGAGAGCGCGAGAAGGCGGGATTCGGCCGGGAGTTATTCGCTGTTACCGGGGAGCTGTGTGGGAGTCTGTCAGCGGGCCGGGACTCGGAGAGAGAGAGGGGGGAATAATGAGCGCTGGGATCGCGCTGCTGTGTCGGTAGTGCTGTCCGTAGGCCCTCCATAGCCAGCCGCAGACATGCTCATAGAGAATGTGGACGCTTTCAAGACGTGGCTGGCAAAGTTACTGGACCCCATGTGAGTACCTAGCTAGCTACCCACCCACCGGGCAGGCAGGGGAGTCAGCACGACGGCCGTAAAGTAAACCTGCACCCTGCCTGCCCCGGCCTTGTGGCAACAAGTATTGGAGGGACATGGCCAACTGCAAGGCCACACATGGAATCAATCAGTTCATTCTCAGACCGTGGGTCAGACAGGCACACGGCATGTTATGGACTCTTTATATAATATTGTATGATTTATCACATGTTCAGGGGATGAAAAAGTGCTGCCCTGTATGTGGGATTCTGATGCTGCAGCGTGGGAATTCTCTTATACAAGTAGCTGCTTTTCAGATCTAAATTGGTCTGATTAACTTACAGCTTAATGATTCGAATTATTCCATGTATTGAATATACATCTAGTTCAGTGGTGCTCAAACCAGTCCTCGTGGCCCACCAACCAGGATTTATGTATTTTAATTTCTTTATTCTAGTTGAGATACTGAAAACCTGGACTGTTGTTGGGCTTTGTGGTCTGGTTTGAGAGCCACTGTTCTGCAGTATTTATTAGTGATATTTGACCAGGGAAACACTAGACGTAGAACCACTAAAAGCAAAAGGGAATTGAGTCCCTAATTTGATTTTTAGATTCGGCACAGGGGTGGGCAACCTTTGACACAACAGATGTGGACTACATCTCTCATAATGCTCTTACAGCTGTAATGCTGGCAAAGCACCAGTGGAGATTTAGTCCACAATATCTGGAGTGCCAAAGGTTACTTACCTCTGGACTAGGGCTTAGTAATGCCAATGGTATTTTATAACTAAAAAGAACATGTCCTAAAATCATTTACATCGTAAAGACAGGGCCATCCAGCGTAGGACTGCTGTATGTATGGTTGTTTGCCAACTGCATACTGCTTTCCTAGACTTATAAAACTTCTATCCTCTATATGCTAATGGGAAGTACACATGAGTAGTGTGTTGGCGGATCCCAGGGGAATTAATTGATTAGTGAAATTATTAATGCAGGGTCGGAATTATGCATACCTAAGGACAGCGCTCATAATTTTCTACCCATCAACCTGCTTATGGTAAGGGTACAGGAAAAACATGGCTATCCTAGGTTTGGGTCTTGACTTTGCACATAAATTTGTAACATGTATTCTTAGTAGACATGAGTATTGTTGTGGCATGTCTAAGTGAAAAGCAAATGTTGCGTGGTGAAAGTAACATCTGGTGATTTTATAGACTTCTAAGAGAGAAATATCATAAGATTAGGTAGATGCTGAACTTTACATAGAGCAAAGATAAGACCCTAGCTCTATCTAAAATGTAGATGGCAAAGCATTCTTGAAGTTGTGTTTTGACAACAGCTGCAGGAGTATGTTTTGGATGTCCCAAACATAGTGGTTAGTCAGTGTGCATTTAACAGAGGCCAATTGTTGGAGAGTCAAATGGTTTTCTGGAATTTTGTGAGTTAATTGCTGTTCGTGGTTCTGATAGGTTGATATTAATGTAGATCTGTTAATAGTCTATACCAGGGGTAGGCAACCTTTTAGCAGCACTGTGCCGATATAGGATTGTGATGTGCCGGTCCTATTTTTTTAAATTGAAGTGTGTATTTTGCCGTATTCTGCTTGTTATTTTTACTGTAATTGCTTTGTATCGTTGTATTTGTGCGTATATGAGCTATTATATTGTATATGTTCATTAGTAGTTTATGGTATCGTGTATGATACATATGAATGTGGGCTGTGTATGAGGGCTGCTTGTAGACTTGTGTGTGTGGATGGATTTGTCACATTGTGTATTTGGTAGTGTGTATGTGTGGGGCTGTTTGGGGTATTGCATGTGAGAGGCTGTGTGTGTGTGGTTCATATTCTTTGTATGAGGGGAGGGTTATTCTGCAGCTCCATGTATATCTAGCAGTGGGGACCAGGCTGCCAGGTACAGGTCAAGGACAGGAGCTGCAATAGCTGTCGAGGGCTACTCTACTACAGTGTAGATTCCCATTCACAAGTGCTGGGAGGAAGTGATCTGAGATCACTTCCTCTATGTGCTACAATGCATAAATTGAGGATTGTCCTTCACCACCTCTTCGTATTAGCAGATATCTGAAGTTTTACTGGGACTCCTGATAGGCCAGAGTGTGTTTGGCTCTAGCAGCCTTGAGTGCCGTGCATGGTACTAGTGCCGTAGGTTGCCTACTCCTGGTCTATACATTAAGAAACTATCACTGAGCCACTGTTGTGGGTGTTTTTTGTTATACAAGTGACATCCTGGGAAGTGGAGTGTATTGTATAGGTCAGAGTACAAACTTTCCACTTGTCCACTAGCCATTGGCGAGTTAACATTAAGCCCGACCAAGTGCTTCTGTGCAGGAAATTACCAGAGAGACTGTTTTCAAACACTATCCGACCAAAGGTGCATGTATATGGCTGTTGTATGCTAGAGGTAGGTGTGAGTTTTTTTCTTTTATTCAAACTTTAATTTTTTTTATTTTTTTTTATCTATTTCCTCTCACAGGATTAAAGGCTTATTGTATTAGAGAAAAAGTTTGAGGTTACAGTTGTCCTTTAAAATTTTAAATCGGTTACCAACTTGTGTGGGTTTTGTGTTTGTACTGTAATGTTATGCCTTCAATCAGTGGAAAGTATTCAGGTTTATATTAATGCATTGGAGAAAATATACCATAACTGACTGTGGGGCAAGCATCTAATGTTAGAGCATTCACCACAGAGACAAGTTGAATGTCCCTTCTGAATTCCATGATGAATACCCATCCTCCTCTAAAATTGCATTATTCCTTTTGTATTGAGATAGATATATATATATATATATAATTTTTTTATTTTTTTTTACAAATCTCCTCCATAGTATGAAAATGTGTCATATCACCAGTGAGTTTCATGCTGCATACTGTGTGTACGCTAGCAGATTACAAAAAGGTAATCTGCATAAATAGAATATTCATATAATCTTTGAAACACTGAATAAAACTACGAATACTAAGTTGTTTGTTTTTGTTCTAATACAATTATTTAGTGCCTTATATCTGCCCACCAGATATTGTATGATAATTAGGTCCACATTTTAAACCAGGTTTCAGTAAAGAAGTAAACGAATTAAGGTATTCTATGATAATCAGGTCCACATTTTTAAACAAAGATTGAATTAAGATGTAGACAAATTCAATCTAAAATATTCAAAGAGAAAACAATGGCCCACTCTGGCATTTAGAAAATTTGTGAAATGAACTGCAAGCTGTGTTGATTGTTTTATAGAAAAAGCAGTAAAAAAAAAAAGCCTTTTCATGGCCATGTGAAGTTAAAATTAACAAACCAAACTCTTATTTAAGAGTTGCCTTTTTAGTGTGTGTGTGTGTGTGTTTCTGTTCGTAAAATGTGGTCAGTCTATAACTTATGTTAAAGGACTACTATAGGCACCCAGACCACTTCAGCTCAATGAAGTGGTCTGGGTGCCAGGTCCATCTAGGATTATCCTGCCTGCTGTAAACATAGCAGCAGTTTCAGATAAACTGCTATGTTTACATATGGGTTAATCCAGCCTCTAATGGCTGTCTCATTGACGGCCGCTTGAGGCGCCTCCGTGCTTCTCACTGTGATTTTCACAGTGAGAAGATGCCAGCATCTATAGGAAAGCATTGAGCCACGCAAGCGCATTCAGCCGATGACGGTCAAAGGAGGAGGAGAGTCCCTAATGCTGAGGGAGCCTGGCGCTGGAGAAAGGTAAGTGTTTAACCCCCTTCCTCTCCATTCAGCCCGGCGGGAGTGGGACCCTGAAGGTGGGGGCACCCTCAGGGCACACTAGTGCCAGGAAAACAAGCTTTTCCTGGCACTACAGTGGTCCTGTAACCTGTTTCTGTCATATGTTTTATTTGAACTGTTTCTTCAAGGAGCGCTCAGATTCTCATAACCACTACAGCACTTTGTAGTGGTTATGGTGCCATTGACTACTTAAAATAGGGGCAGGGGTCTCCTGATACCATAACCACTACAGTGTGCTGCAAAAGCTGTGTGCTGTTCCTGCCCTTCATTTAATAGATGAGAGCATCAATATTAAAAGTAGCCAGTCCAGAACTTTTGTTCTGGACTGGCTAGTTACCCTCCCCCCAGCCCCTCGATGACATGGTCGGAGGTGGAGTTATATGTCCGGTAGCAAATTAGTTAAGCTCTGTATGTACAGTTATTCATAGTGAAACACTGTACGTACAAACTCCAGCCACCATGACTACTTTGTATCACTGAAGTAATCATGGTGCCTGGAGTTACTCTTTAATACTTAAAAAGTATAATGCTCAACTTCAAACAGAATTCGTTAATGCTTCAGTGGGTCAAAGGGTCTCTAGTAAATTTATAGTGAGCTGCAGCTTGGACCTCTTTTGAATCTGATGTGCATGGTTTAACAAATGGAAATCTATTGAAATAACACGTGGATTCAATTTAGGATCATGTCCCAGAGTGTTGTATTGAATATAGTTTCCAGCATTTCCTTGCACAGTCAAATTGCTAGTAAATAACTATATTTAATACCCTTTTATGCTGTATATCATGAAAATATGAATCTGCTTCCATCCCTTTCTTATCAGAATTTAAAAAAATGAGGGATTCCTTACAGCATATGGGCTAGGAGTGTTACATCTGCAGAGAGGTCAAAGGGACACTATAGGTACCCAAACCACTTAATCTCATTGCACTGCCCCTGTCCACTTAAAGGGACACTATAGTCACCGGAACAACTACAGCTTATTGAATTTATTCTGGTGAGTAGAATCATTACCTTCAGGCTTTTTGCTGTAAACACTGTCTTTTCACAGAAAATGCAGTGTTTACATTACAGCCTAGTGATAACTTCACTGGTCACTCCTCAGATGGCTGTTAGAGATCCTTCCTGGGTCATGCCTAAAATGCATCCAAACATTCAATATCTCCTCCCTCTATGAGGAAAGTTCAGACACTGAACACTGAGATTCATTGATTCAGTTCATCTCTATGAGGAGATGCTGATTGGCCAGGGCTGTGTTGTCAGTTTCAGCCTCCTTGTCAGTCTCAGCCAATCCTATGGGAAAGCATTGTGATTGGATCAGGCTACCACTTCTGATGATGTCAGCAGACTGCTTGTTTTTCTGAGGCAAACAACATGCAGATCTACAGCTTCAGGCATGAATACAGTAAGATTTTGCTATATTTTTGGAGGCATGAGGGGGACCAGGGGGGCTAGATGGTGGTTTTAACACTATAGGGTCAGGAATACATGTTTGTGTTCCTGACCCTATAGTGATCCTTTAATCTTGCAATGTAAACATTGCAGTTTTAGAGTAACTGCAATGTTTCCATTGCAGGTTTAACACTTCCTCTAGTGGCTTTCTCACAGACAGCCATTAGAGATGCTTCCTGCTGATTCACAGATTTATGAGTTTTTGTGCAAGGACAGCCAGCATCTTGCAAGACCTGACAAAGCATTGATTCAATGCTTTCCGGTGGCCAGATAAGCGTGGCGCATTTGCGTTAGGATTCCCTTTGTGAAGATGTTGGCATAGCCTGCACTGGAATTAAAGAATTTTTAACTTGTTCATTGTAGGTGTGGGGGGGATCAGTCAGAGGGACACTACATTGTTAGAAATACAAAGCAATATTCCTAACACTATAGTGTTCCTTTAAATTCAATTTGTATAGAGTTTCGTCGTGCAACACTACAGACTCTAGGCATAAAACCACTTCAGATCACTGAAGAAGTCTTGCTGCTTGGTGTAACCCTATAAAGGGACACTATAGTTACCAGAACAACTACCACTTATTGTATTTGTTCTGGTGAGTATAATCATTCCCTGCAGGCTTTTTGCAGTAAACTGTCTTTTCAGAGAAAATGCAGTGTTTACATTAGCCTCGAGATACCGTCACTGGGCACTCGTCATATGATTGCTAGAGGTGCTTCCTGGGACAGTGCCTCCACCCTCTGCATGGCGACACTGAACTTTCCTCATAGATATGCATCTCTATGAGGAGAGGCTGATTGGCCAGGGCTGATTTTTGACTTGTGCTGGCTCTGCCCCTAATCTGCTTCATTGATAGTCTCCTATGGGATAGCATTGTGATTGGCTGAGAGAATCATTTCCAAGCAGGCTGGTCAGTGGCAGAGTCAGCAGCTGCATACTTGAATATAAGTAACATTTTAACATTATTTAGGGGGGCTATATGTTCGTTTTAACACTCCAGGGCCAGCAATATGTTTGTGTTCCTTTAAGAAAAATTTATCGTTGGAGTGAAACTTTCAGCTTGCTGTAAGAACCTCAATAATCTCAAGTGTTTTTATCTTGATGTTGCTGGATATTTTTTATTTTTGGATTCTATACTGACCGCCTACAGAGCTAGTTTATTTCTGGACCATCAAGGAGTGAGTGGCTCTTTTTGCATACATTTTGACTAACTTAAATTCACTTTGAATAATCTGAATTTAAAGCTAAATCGGTTGAACTGGAAGCATAGCTGATTTGGATAATGTTTCCAGTTTGGTTATTTGCACCTTGAATTTGAAATTCTCTTTGAATTCTCACTTTAGTGAATAACCCTGTTATTGGTCTTTGAGTGACAAGGAGTAATTTTACTCTCCCGGTCACTCTATACTTTGGGATAGTGAAAAAGGGGCATAAGTTATAAATGACAAGTAACTTTTAATGCTCCCTTGTTACTTTCTATAGCTCCTGGCAGTTCAAGTTACCTAGAGCAGTGTCATTTTGTACTTGCGTGCAAGAGTACAAAGCAGTTTTGCAGACAGGACAAATTTCTCACACATGCCCAGTGATACTATAGGCATCTCACTACACCTTGCTCGAGAAGATGCCACCATGTTTCTTAAGATTAATGGAAAATAGTAAAGCACAGCCAAATGAAAACTCAACCTCCACATTTCACCATAGTTGGACGTGTACAGAAAGCCCTCATGCCCTTTTTTTTTTTTTTTCTCTTGTGTGTATCTTTTGTTACATTTCATTTGCTGTTTTGCTGGCAGGAGCTATGTTCTATTTATATATGAAGCTAAAGATGGTCTTGTAATCCACACCTTTTGTGCATGACTAGTTCACGCTAAAGGAGGATGGGATGTTTGTACTTGGTATATGCACGTTTAGTGCATAGGGCAAAGCGAATAGAAATTCATTCCTTGTGAGCGTGCCCTGGACCCTTCCTGGTTTCAGTGGTGAGTAACTTTTTACGGCCTGGCTAGTAGCATAGGACTTGAAATGTTAAATTGGCTGTGTCACCATTTGGGGTCTACATATTTTGCAATGACCCCTGATCGTAACTGCTCTACTTGCAGTGCAGTGGCTGCTGGGAAATGTGAGTTTTATTCACCTGACTCTTTTTCCTTCATGGATATTGCCATCTTCACCTGGTCGGTCCTCTTCAGCTCCTGGCACTTCTCCCAGGAGCCCATGTCAATGTTGTAATCTAGCTCATGCAAGAAGTCTATCTAGGATCACTTTGTCAGGCATAGATAATATACCTAGTAGTCGCTAAAACACATTGGCAGCTTCCATGGTCCGGCATGAAATTATTATATGGACTTAATTAAAGAATTATTATAATGGGGGGTGGGTTGGGGGGGAAGTGATATTATTTTTACATAGTTCAGGCTTTATGTGAATGTTGTAAAAGCTGTGAGTGTTATATCCTCATAATGCTGTGTCACAACATTAAAGAGGCTCTATCACTGTATAATGTGCAATGACCCCTGACTTTCACATCGCCAATCTGGGGGCAGGGAAAGTAAAGTTTTATTTACCTTAAACTGCCCCTCACAAGCGTTGCCTTCCTTTTCAAACCACTCTAATTCACCTCCAGTTGCCAGGGGCCAATGTCAGAGCTGTTACTCATGCAGGACCACGTTATATTCTCTATAAAAATAATTTAATTTCTCTACAGCCATCACTGGTGACAGCTCAGGGAAATAAGCTTGATGGCTCTAGCTCCTCCTTTTTGTCAAGCGTAGTGTTAAGAGTGCCTGTCAAACTGTCTGAGTGTGCTGGCCAGCAATACATAGAGACCCCCACAGCACATAGATAAAATACTAAGACAATGTAGTCCCTACTTAAAGGGACACTCCAGGCACCCAGACCACTTCTGCCCATTGTAGTGGTCTGGGTGCCAACTCCCACTACCCTTAACCCTGCAACTGTAATTATTGCAGTTTTTTATAATCCGTCTCGCCCACCGGCCAACGTAATGCAGAGGAGGAGCGACGGCGGAGGAAGAAGCACTGACGTGGGACATCGTCGCTTCCTCTGGTAAGTGACTAAAGGGATTTTCACCCCTTCAGCAACCGGGAATTGGGAGGGAGAGGGGACCTGCAGTGCCAGGATTGTTTTCCTGGCACTGGAGTTTTCTTTTAATATATCTTTTGACTAGATTGGAATTTCAATAAAAATCCAACGCTGTCAATATGAACATGTCCTAAAGATTAGAGCTTTATGAAATACTAGTTTTGGAAGGATTTGACAGTGCCACTTTAAACACACTTATTTACTAAACTAGAGAATTGTGACGTTTCATAAATATAAAATCTTAGTGAAATACTCATTGATATTGACTACCTTGAAATTTCATCTCAATACAATCAAGATATAAGACAAAGTTGGAAACATGGGCGGGAAAAAGAGCCTTCCCTGTCAAGCTTTTGTAATTTCTCACAGCCATCACTAGCTGTGCAAAACAAACCTTTTCACACATCAAGAGTTGGTTGGTGTTTTGGCCTAACATTTCTAGTTTCCTCCACCTTGACTTATTTTGCCAATGCCCATCACAAGGTGTTTGCTTCATAAACACTTTTTTGTTTTCCCCCCTGCTTTATTGCACTGTCAGCCATTTTTGCCAGTGAACATTTCTCAACTGACTGATTTTAGCAATTACATGCTAGACTTATGTTTAATGAATTGACAGAGGGTTTCTGCATGGGGAAATTATATTATACTATAAAACATTTTGTCATCTGCCAAAACACCAAATTTAAAATTTAGTCAAGTGATACTTCCTGTTGCAGGCTGTGGTTTATAATGTGTTCATTAGGAGTTCATAGAATAAACTCTATTTTGCAACATTTGCAGATGTGCATTTCAATCATGAGCAACTTAAAGGAACACTTTAAGATCAGGAACGCAAACATGTATACCTGACCCTATAGTGTTAAAACCACTATCCAGCCACTCCTTTACCTTCCCTAAATATAGTAAAATCTTACTTGTATTAAAGTATGCAGTAGATGCCTCTGCCCCTGAAATACATGCTTAGCTGACATTATCAGACATGATTCTGTGAGCCAATCACAATGCTTTCCCATAAGATTGGCCAAGACTGTCAAGGAGGCAGATCAGGGGCAGAGCCAGCACAAGTCAAACACAGCCCTAGCCAATCAGCATCTCTTCATAGAGATGCATTGAATCAATGCATCTCTGTGAGGAAGGTTCAGTGAATGGCAGTGCTGCAGCTGCACACTGTGCAGCACCACCCCAGGAAGCACCTCTAGCAGCCATCTGAGGAGTGGCCAGCGGAGTTATCACTAGGCCAGGCCTGTCTAACCTGCGGCCCCCCAGATGTTGCTGAACTACAACTCCCATGATTCTTTCAATTAAACAGCCAGGGAATCATGGGAGTTGTAGTTCAGCAACATCTGGGGGGGACGCAGGTTGGACAGCCCTGCACTAGGCTATAATGTACAATTTTCTCTGAAAAGACTGTTTGCTGCAAAAAGCCTGACGGGACTGATTCTACAAATACAATAAGCTGTAGTTATTCAGGGAACTCTAGTGTCCCTTTAAAGATAAGTCCCCGAACTGTCATAGAACTATTCCCATGATGCTTTGCTAGCGCGCATATATATATATATATATATATATATATATATATATATATATATATATATATATATATATATATATATATATATATATATTTTAATAATAATAATTTAGACCAAAATACACTTTGTTGCTTAGACCTCAGCTCCCATTTCACCTAGGAAAAAGTCAGTGTGATTTTAATGTATGCATATAATTATGCAACATCAATGAGTTTTGTAAAGTTATAATCCTGAATGTGAAGGTTTTCAGTATTTGGCACATCACAAATATATTAGCTGCTAAATCACACTTCTTATTAAAATTTTATTATTTATATAGCGTCATCAGATTCCGTAGCGCTTATGAGATATAGTAAATTTTCCTGACTGTCAATCTGTTGCACAATGCAAACTGATGTTTGCATTAAAGGGGCATTTACGCTAAGCCTGTATATCTTAAAGTGGCTCTGTCACATTGACAAATATTTTCATTGGTTGGTTCTCTTGAATCTTTATGAATCTTCTTGTCTCTGTTGGAATTGTGTTAAAGCCCATGGTTGTCAAAAGGGAGAGCTTCCGCTGTTAACATCTGTCAGTTTCCCTAGCTGTAGTGGATGCGGAAATACGGCCGGTTCTCACAGGTTACACTGACTTAGTCTGTGGAGTACTGTGGTCTTGCAGGACCCCCTATAGACATCAGTATTGTACTCTCACACATGCATAAGAGTACCGCACGTATGTGGCTCCTAGCATATGAAGCTCCAGGAGCTATAAAGATAAAATGATTGTGCCTGCGGTAGAGGGAAGAAAACAGCTTTGAGTCAGTGTGACTACCCGTCACTGCACCACTGGGCCTCACCTCAAACTCATATCACTTGCTGGGCTGTCTTTGCAAAACGTGTAAAGGTGACAGATCCAGTTTAATTTAGTAGTTAAATGTAAATATTGCCGATTGTGGGGTATAGCAGCATGCACATTTAGTCTTTCAGAATACTTCTAGTGGATTGGATTCCATGTTTCTGTTTTAGAAGCATCTGATTAGTGGAGTGTGGCGATTGCTGCGCATGCAAGGTAGGGCTCCAATGCTTCTCTATGAGAAGCTTTAGGTTGCCCCAAGATCAACCTGCAGGATAATCTTTCTTACTTGCAGCAATTTGGAATAAAATCTCTGGAGTTCTTAATCTTGTGGCGCAATCTAAGGAATTAAGTACCCCACTTCATGTTATTATAAGGCCAGTTCTTTCATAACGGTTTTAACACCTTAAAGGGATTGGTCACTCCCCAGAATTTTTTGTTTGTTTATTTATCCCCTTTGTTTACTATATATGTTTTTTTGTGAGGTGTGACAAACCAAAAGAAGGCAAGAAATCCACACCCCTTTATTTTGCAACTTTGCTTCTTCATCTTGGCTCCCGGTCACTGTTATAATCTGTCCTTTCCACCTGTCAGCATACAGAGAAGAGGTTAAATTAAACCATCAAGCTATTTCTCCTCCTCATTTGCAGTGAATTTTCTGTGCCTGGGTTGAGATAGATTGTCATAACATTTTGGTAAATCACTACGATAAATTTGAAAATAAAATGGAACTTTACATGAAAAAAGGTTATATGTTACAGGTGATATTCACTGTTTGATTTAATTCTGTGGCTCAATAAAGTGACGGTTCGAAGTAGTGATGTCAGAGTATGCAACATATAGAATCTTATACTGGGGTGTAAATGTACTTACTCTAGTTTAGAAACTAGAAGTCCGCATTTGAACATATATTTGTGCTGAACAATCCCAAAGTCTTGATATTCTGTCGTTGTTATACATAAAGTCTTTCCTATTTTAAAATTGAAACTAATATGCTTGTTTCCTTTTACAACAGATGCGATGCAGACCCCTCGGCACTAGCAAATTACGTTATAGCTCTGGTAAAGAAAGACAAATCTGAAAAAGAGCTAAAGGCTATATGTGCTGACCAGCTGGATGTGTTTCTACAGAAAGGTACCAGAGGAGTAACTTGCCAAAATAATCTTGTGCAAAGCATGTACTCGTGTGTTAAAGAGGCAGTCCAGTCACCACATCACTGTCTAGAACTGGTTAGGATGCCAAGAGTCCCTTGGCAACCTATCCTGGCAAGTAGTCAGACCATTTTCAAAAGGTTTGACACTTACTTTGGTCCACTGGATACTTCCATTCTGGCTTCCTTTTACAATATCACCAATGTGAAGTTTCCTACATCCACATTAGTGCAATCCGTTCTGCTGATTTTTTTTGATCAAATTCTGTCCAAATATGGGATGAATTGGTATATCTGTTGCAGAAGGGACACTTCTGGATTAGAGATTTATCACTACATCAGAAGTGGAGGTCGGACCAGAGGTGCTGGGGGCCTGGTTGAATATCAGTCTTTTTTAAAATGGTTCTCAGTTTGTCTACTAGATAGATTATTTTTTTTTGGTGGGGGAGTTGTTCTGTTTTTTTGTTCCTGTGCAGATAAGCCTGGGTGCTTTTCACAGTTACAATGAGCATGTCTTACCATGTCCACGTTAACAAAGAACCGTTTCAGGAAGTATATAATTCACCACAGTTCTAAATTTATATATTGATGTACAGTGGAACCTCAGAATTTGAACTTAATCTGTTCCAGAAGGCTGTTTGAGAACAGAGTTGTTCGAAAACTAAATCTAATTTTCCATAAGAATTAATGTAAATTAGATTAATCCATTCTAGACTCCCAAAAGTACGGCATTTTAACTCACATTTTACAGTTTAATACCTTAAATGCATAAAATCAAACAGAAAACCTATAAACACAATGTAAATGAAGTGAAAATGTAACTTCACTTTACCTGTCAGCTCTGTTCGCTTTGTCTAGTGTTAGGAGGCTGATGCTTCATACCAACGAGGTTCCAAAGTGGTACCATGGAGGTTAATGCTGTTTGACACTTTTTTTTTTTTTTTTCTCAAATATTTTGTTTGATTACAGAATTATTATTATTTTTTTTTTTTTTTTTGAGTACGAGAGCGTTTCAGAACAGAGATTCCACCCTACTTGGGAAGCTGTTGTAGCACATTCTAGGACGCTAAAAAAACTGGCCTCCTATTCACACTGTATTTTTCTCCACCTTCAATCTTTTAAAGTTTGTGCCACATAACCATTGCCAAAACACTCTCTGTTCACAACTTTCTTATTCAGTGAACTCAGAGTACATAGTTGAATTGCTGGAATGATTACAGATAATAAGAGGGCAGTGATTGGGATGGAGTCAGGTCAGTTTATAGTGATCTCTGGGCTATATTGTGTATCTTGACCAGACTACTTTATGTCTATATCAGCAGAAGCTTTGGGTGTTGAGAAAAGGCTGAAGTTTTAAGACTCATTTAACCATTGTAATTGGCCTTTATGTAGTGCCAACATATCCTGCAATGCTTTACAATTCTAGAAAGGGAATATTTAGAGGTGAAGTAGGTCCTGCTCAAATGAGCTTACATACTATGAGGATATATTTCAGGTAGGCAAATATGTATAGTTGGGTATCTTAACACAAAGATAAAGCACCGTGCTTACAGCAGCAGTGGCTTAGTATCCAACAGCTTAAAATACATAGTAAAAACAAAGAAAACGTTACCTGCGCTCTGGCCTAAATCCCCATGTGCGTTTAAACAGAAATGGAGGCTCTTTGGTTTTATTCTAATGGCCATTTGAATATGTAAGCTCACCTGCCACGTCAAGGCAAGCCTCAGTAGGTGAGTTCCTACACTGGCCATTAGATATGCCGATATCAGCCATGAGTCTCCAATGAGACAGGAAGGGGTATTTTATAAACCCTTTAACATTTAACCCTTTATAGGGCTTCTGCACATACAATAAACTTTGCTGATATCAGACAAAGTGAGACAGAAAGGGGTGTTTTATAAACCCTTTAACATTTAAAACAAAAAGGAGGACCACAAGAGTCCTAAATAGGAGAGTAATGTAAAAAGGGGAATAGGGGTCCCTACCTTTTAATAATTCTAAAGATACACAGGACAGGTGGGAAGAGGTACAGCAAAAGAGAGTCCTCCAGACTAGACACAGGGAACCAGTTACTAAAAAACTGCCTGTTAAATGTCTAGGATCCTAAGTTGCACGCCCTCTAAATCTTCCCAAAACAGGCACCCTAATTGAAAAAAGGGGTAACTGAAGAAATAGGGGAAGGGAGCAATGAAAAGGGAGATGCCCCAAGGAGTAAATCTTATGCAAAAAGCCCCTATAGAAGTCCACTTTCCCTAGTTACCTCGGCCCTGTGATAAATCACCAGTGCCTACCAAAAAGACTCAGTCCCTGCCTGTCAAAGTTAAGTAATAACTGATAAGGTAAATTAAATTAAATCAATCCATCAGTGCTACCAAAAAAGTGCAAAACAAAGAAAATAAAATAAAAAGAAGCTCGACGCGCGTTTCAGCGTTTCAACACGCCGTCGTCAGGAGCAGTGCTGAAACGCGCGTCGAGCTTCTTTTTATTTTATTTTCTTTGTTTTGCACTTTTTTGGTAGCACTGATGGATTGATTTAATTTACCTTATCAGTTATTACTTAACTTTGACAGGCATGGACTGAGTCTTTTTGGTAGGCACTGGTGATTTATCACAGGGCCGAGGTAACTAGGGAAAGTGGACTTCTATAGGGGCTTTTTGCATAAGATTTACTCCTTGGGGCATCTCCCTTTTCATTGCTCCCTTCCCCTATTTCTTCAGTTACCCCTTTTTTTCAATTAGGGTCACTGTTTTGGGAAGATTTAGAGGGCGTGCTACTTAGGATCCTAGACATTTAACAGGCAGTTTTTTAGTAACTGGTTCCCTATGTCTAGTCTGGACGACTCTCGTTTGCTGTACCTCTTCCCACCTGTCCTGTTGTGTGTATCTTTAGAATTATTAAAAGGTAGGGACCCCTTTTTACATTACTCTCCTATTTAGGACTCTTGTGGTCCTCCTTTTTGTTTTAAGTCTTCTTATTGAGGGTTATTCCCTTTCCTGGGAGAGTAATTTCAGGACTTTATAGCACTTATTCATCGGTCGTAGTCACGACCCCTGAATCAGAGCTACTACTCCTTAATCCTTTAACATTTAACCCTTTATAGGGCTTCTACACATTCAATAAACTTTGCTGGTATCAGACAAAGTATAGACGTCTCTAATGAGACATGAAAGGGTGTTTTATAAACCCCTACATACTTTACCCTAAATAGGGCTATAATGTACAAATCACCTTGCTGGTATCATGGCAGGTGAGCTTACATATTCAAATGGCCATTAGAATAAAACCAAAGAGCCTCCATTTCTGTTTAAACGCACATGGGGATTTAGGCCAGAGCGCAGGTAACGTTTTCTTAGTTGGGTATCTTGCTCAATAACATACTATCCTTTTAATGTTACTGATAAATATTGACCTAACAACAATCTTTGAAATCGTTCTGTAAATAGGCAGTAGCTCAATGTGCAATGTTTCATGGTTACTTTAACGTTCCAGGTAGACATGTATACACGTTATGGGTAAATATTGAGCCAGAAGATCCACTTAATCATAAAGAGAGACCTCCTCTCCCTTTTTCCATCTCCTTTAAAGGACCACTATAGTGCCCGGAAAACAAACTCCTTTTCCTGGCTCTATAGGGTCTTTAGGTGTTCCCCACCCTCAGGGTCTCCCTCCCGCCGGGCTGAAGGGGGAGGAAGGGGTTAAAGGCTTACCAAGGCTTACCTTTCTCCATCGTCTGGCTCCCTCGGTGCTGGGGACTCTCCTCCCTCTTCTGATGTCACTGGCTGCATGCGCGGCCAGAGCCGTGCGCACATTCAGTCAGTCCATAGGAAAGCATTTTCAATGCTTTCCTATGGACGCTGGCGTCTTCTCACTGTGCAAATCACAGTGAGAAGCGCCTATAACGGCCCTCAATGAGACAGCCATAGAGGCTGGAATAACCCATATGTAAACATAGCAGTCTCTCTGAAACTGCTATGTGTACAGCAGGCATGGTTAACCTTAGATGGACATGGCACCCAGACCACTTCATTAAGCTGAAGTGGTCTGGGTGCCTATAGTGGTCCTTTAAATAAAAAAATAAAAAAATTGAAATCCTCCTTTAATGAGACTCAAAAAACAAAGTCCTCACAGTATTTTGGGATGTTCGGCTCTTCATTGTAAGAACCTGTGTTTTTGGCTGCAGGCCACAGTACCAAACAGGAAGTAAAATTCAGGTCTGTGTGCTATTTAATTGAGACAAGTCAATATCCACTTCAAACGGTTTCTCCAGCCTGCTGTAGTGGTTAGCATGGTAGAAGCACCATGGAACCATTCCATGCAAATGGGGCAAACTATTTTACAAATTTTTTTTTCCTGTTGCCCGGTCTCCGCTGAAACAGGACATTCGAAATCCAACTTTTACAGAGCTACAGAAGCCAGATCCTGCCACTCATTCTTTGATTGGGAGAGGTCTGTCATAAAAATTTGCACAGAATTGACATTAGCCAGCCTGGAACTCTGGTTCAGCTAGTAGTAAATATATGCATTGATGTTGTTTACCACATATTTTATGCAACAACAGATACAAACTCCATTTTGTTTTCTTTAATCCTTCAGAAACTAATGGTTTTGTGGATAAGCTGTTTGAATGCTTGCACACTAAGGACTACCTTCCTCAGGAGGAAATATTAAAACCTGAAGTGAAACCGGAACGAGAAGAGGTCAAGGACGAGGTGGCCGAGAAACGCCACATGGCTGTATCAGCTTCTCTTCCGGTGAGACTATTCTTTAAAATGGTTTTGCTTGGTTTGTAGAGGTCAGGGCATATCCGGAGACGGATATCCCCTAACATATTTGTTCTTGAGCCTCTTTTTTTTTTTTTTTTTTTAACCCTCCTTTTTAGTATAGTCATTATGTTTTTCCAACAACTAATGTTGACAGATCTTCACTTCCGGTTTGATATAATACAATTGTGTGACCGATATTGGAATGTAATCTCCTAGAGTGCGGTATGATAAATCTCAGATGATATGCCTCTTTATTCACAGTCAGATGTATTAATCTTTTTAAGTATTTTATACAGCACACTGTGGATATACTTCCCAAAACAGACAAGTATTTGTCTGCATGTTCTTCTTGTGGATCTTTTTTAGGATTTTCATCCCTAGTCTGCTTATATAAAATTCTTAAGTAGAAGAAAAAGCTAGCTCTGAGATGGAGATGAACCTCTAGAAGTTTTATGTTTTTCCCTAGATCCTTTTGTTTGTGAAGGTAATGGTGTATACCATTCTTTGATAAATAACCTGTGCTAATCAACATTTTTTTTTCAGGAAACCTTTGAAGAAGAACGTGATGTTAGGAAAAAGAAGCACTTAAGTCCCCAAAGAAATCGCTCTGATTCAAATGAGCGAAGGTATGCTCTTTTGTACACATTGGCTGACCTGTTGTTTGTTATTGACTTTAATGATTATTTTTTAGCCTTGCCTCAAGGAGAACTAGACTCCTCTTGTGGATTTTTCACTGTCTTTATATTAACAAGTGCAGAGTCTTGAAACTTTTAAGATCCTTCTCACACCTCTTTTCTTAGCTGCTATCTGCAGGGAAGGCTTTCTTAGGCCTGGACTGTTGCAGACCACTGGCAGCTGTGGGGTCTCATACTCACTAGACTAATGACGCTCGTTGAAGCAGATACACAGTACATGTAAGCGTTTACTCAGACAGACATTATCATTGCATCTATGCTGACGTTCTGTCTGCCAGGAAGGAGAGGATGCACAAATATAGCGTCAATTTATCCTTTGAATTCTTGGCCTAGCATGAAACTGTCATTTTTTCATTGTTAGGCATTTATAAACCAGGTGCCAGAGGGGGGCGGGGCCTGACTTGTCTCAGGCTGGAGAGGCTCCTGGAACTTTTTTGTCTCCTGTGGCACAAAAACCACGTTTCCAAGCAATATTGGACTGCATGCCTACGTGTGATGCCTGTCTAAAACATTGTCTCCAAAAGACTATAATTATTCATGTTACACCACTTTGTTCCAGTTCCCTTTTTTACCCACTCGGGAGCTACGAGTCCAGGCTAGTAGCTACCCATAGAGCGTTCTCTCTTGTGCTACCTAAGCGGAGATATCCACCAGAGATAGACGCAAGCCCTGGCCGACCTTCTGGAACTGTGAGTCGGATTTACAAGCCGCAGAGTCCCGCTGGCTTCCAGGAAGTCCGGCCTACCATTCAAACTGATTTTGCGCCCTTTCTCCCGATTGGCCAGAGAAACACCTCCACTCCCTGTGCACCGATTGGTGCAGGTTAGTTTTGCGCTCTTTCTCCCGATTGGCCGCCGCATGGTTTAGGCGCAAAATTTGAATCTACCATCCTAAACCAAGTGATTTACTGGAACCGTTTTTAGTTATGTACAGAGCCTAAAGCCCAGACTTTATATGACGATTTCCTGGGCTCTGTACATCCAATCGCTCCACTATTTGCAGGGATCATACCTAGAACCAGGAGCTATTTGGGGATGTATGGCATGGGGGTGCGTTACTGTATGGTGTGTTCGGCTTCCTGTGTCCGGGAGATACCATCATCTCCCTGACACAGCGACGCCGGGGTGGGCTTATGTTTTATATTGCTGTAAATGGAGACCCCCTTGGAGAGTTCTTTTTCACCCTTCACGAAGTCTCGACTAGTGCTTGGGTGATACCACGATTGCCCTTCTGCAAGCGACTATAACCACTGCTGCCACCCCCTCCCCCAATTTATTTTTTGAAATTCTTTTATTGGGGTTTTTTTTTTTTTTTTGTTCTATACAGAAATAGTTGGCATATAACAGTAGACATTTGTGCTGGAAGAGCATTGGTTTTACCCCAGAGTTGTTGCTATGTTTCGACCGTGCCATATACTCGGATAGTATTTCACAGATAAAGTGCGCATATCCTCATAACATTTTATAACGTAATGGTTATAAAACCTATTTAACTAGATCGGGTACATGTAGATAGTACCCTAGTAAGACAGAATGGTGTCACCAGTTCTCCAAGCTATGTTATGCTAAGTGCCTATGTAGGTGAACATCCAATATTGTGGACTTGCTGCCTGCTGTTCGTTTGCCCTTGTTTCCCGAAGTGGGTCATTAGGTACATGAGCAAACTGGAATCTGTTCCCTTAAAGGGTGGAGAAGGTCCACTGGGGGTCAGGTGGGAGCTAAAGTCTGCCCCGCCCCACAATTTAGTTTCATATGTATTGAAAAACTGACTTCACAAAAGAGCACACCACAAGTTAAAGTTCATGTTGCATGCTTTATATTACATTTATTTTCATTTATCTTTTTGTGCTATTTGTAGGTCACGAGATAGGAAGAGGGAGGATGGCAAATGGAGGGATTATGATAGACATAGAGACAAGTACGACTGGCGAAGGGGAAGAAGCAAAAGTCCACCGAAAAGCAAGTCTACAAATCGAAGTCGAAGCCGTAGCAGGGGTAGAAGCCGAGATCGGGAAATGGCACGAAGTCGAAGTGGTGCCAAAGGAATTGTTACACAGCAGGCCACCTCTCTCACACGTAAGCATGGTTTCCCAAGTCTTTTTTTAATATATATACTGTGTGCATAATAATGTTGTATTTGAACAAATACTGTCATGCAAGCATACTGTTGTATTGCAAAAATGGAACAGCCTAACCGTATAATATGCACAAAGGGAAATGTAGCACTCTCATTGTTACCTACAAAGTTAAAGAGAAGTTAAAACAATAGTGTTATACAATATCCTCTATCTGGAGTTTTGTATTTGCACGTGCACTTAATTAGTCTACTGCATCATCATTCTGGAGAGCTCCTACACCTCTTGAGCAGCATGCACATTCCAACTCCCACATTCCCTGAGCATGATGTGCATTTTAAGGGCACATGCTTTGCACCAAAACATCTTTTACTTTGTAATGGTGGTTTTGGTCCATTGATTCAAAAATCACAGATTTTATCCTACCATGTTAAAGACAGAAATGTAAATTTAAGGTCTTCCAATCTGATGCTTTTTATTATGTTTTCTGACAGACTGTGGCAAATGCAGCACATGCTCCGTATATCCACAATAGATTTAGAACATAATAATGTTTCTTTAATGGGTTACTCCAATAAAAAAAAAAAACTGTATTTTAAGAAAACATGGTTTTCTGTTTAGAGTAACCCATCCCACCTCCAAAAAAATTGAATCCTAACCTTCCTTGCCAAGGCCAAATTCTTCCTCAGCCCCATCTTCTCTGCGGACTTCCCATCGGTGGGGGATGCGTATCCCTTAAGTATACGTTTACCACTTACCACAGCAATATAGAGTCTAAATCGGTGGGACCCTCTTTTCAGTCTAAAAGAAGGGGTTCTACAGGTAAACGCTTTAGAAACTTCAAATTACAGGGACCAAAAACCCAAGGGCAGAGTACAGAATATTTGATAGTCCTAACCTCAACAGGGATTTAGGGGTTATTATTTTTGATGACTTAAAGGTAGTCAGACAATGTAATAGAGCAGCAGGAAATGCTAGTAGAATGCTTGGTTGTATAGGGAGAGATATTCGCAGTAGAAAGAGGGAAGTGCTCGTGCCATTGTACAGAACACTGGTGAGACCTCACTTGGAGTATTATACGCAATACTGGAGACCATATCTTCAGAAGGATATTGATACTTTAAAGAGAGTTCAGAGAAGGGCTACTAAACTGGTTCCTGGATTGCAGGATAAAACTTACAAGGAAATGTTAAAGGACCACTCTAGGCACCCAGACCACTTCAGCTTAATGAAGTGGTCTGGGTGCCAGGTCCAGCTAGGGTTAACCTATTTTTTCATAAACATAGCAGTTTCAGAGAAACTGCTATGTTTATGAATGGGTTAAGCCTTCCCCTATTTCCTCTAGTGGCTGTCTCATTGACAGCCACTAGAGGCGCTTGCGTGCTTCTCACTGTGATTTTCACAGTGAGAGCACGCCAGCGTCCATAGGAAAACATTATGAATGCTTTCCTATGTGACCGGCTGAATGCGCGCGCAGCTCTTGCCGCGCGTGCGCATTCAGCCGACGGGGAGGAGAGAAGGAGGATCGGAGGAGGAGAGCTCTCCTCCCAGCGCTGGAAAAAGGTAAGTTTAAACCCCTTTCCAAAGCCGGGCGGGAGGGGGACCCTGAGGGTGGGGGCACCCTCAGGGCACTATAGTGCCAGGAAAACAAGTGTGTTTTCCTGGCACTATAGTGGTCCTTTAAATGAGGAAAGACAAGCCAGGGGGATATGATAGAAACAGTTAAATACATAAAGGGAATCAACACAATAAAGGAGACCATATTTAAAAAGAAAAACTACCACAACAAGAGGACATAGTTTTAAATTAGAGGGGCAAAGGTTTAAAAATAATATCCAGAAGTATTCCTTTACTGAGAGGGTAGTGGATGCATGGACTAGCCTTCCAGCTGAAGTGGTAGAGGTTAACACAGTAAAGGAGTTTAATCTTATGTCCCTTATATTTTACAAAAGATAGATTCAAAACAAATACAACTTGATTTGGATAAAAGTGTAGTGAAAATATTATTTAAAGGGAATCTATAGTCACCTAGACCACATCATTTGAATGAAGTGGTATGGGTGCAGGGGCCATGTCCTTTTAACCCATATTTTTAGAGACTGCAGGATTAAGTCCAGTTATAGTGGCTATCAGTATGACAGCCACTCTATGCGCTGGCGCTGCAGTAACACAATAAACCTTGATAACATAATGGAGAATCTCCTATAGGAAAGCGTTGATTCATTCCTTTGCCATGTGGAAGCCTGCATGCACATGATGTCACTGATGCATCTCTATAACAAGCATTAGATTGGAGTGTCATGGAGGAGGCCATGCCTCCTCTGTGACATCGTGGGAGTACAGGTTTGTGTTCCCTTAAGCAGTTTCCCAAAACTTGGGAAGCGTAATTGAAATGTGGCTTTCTTTTGACATATACTTCGTGTTAACCAAGATAGAATTGCAAAAGCAAATATAAACTTCAGAACAAGGTGGAAAGGTGGAACAGATGTTGGGAATTCAGTGTGTCGAATGTTGTAGGTTTAGAATTTACAATGCTGTTCAGTCTTTCTGACCTTTGAGGTTTTGATTGCTACTGAATCATTACCTTATGGTAATGGGTGTTTACCTCTAGACTGTAAGCTCGTTTGAGCAATCTACCTATTGTTTCTGTGTCACTGGTTCGTAAATTCAGCCCCCCTCCCCCCCTTTCATCATAATGTAAAGCGCTGCAGAATTAGTTGGCGCTATATAAATACCAATAATAATTTAATAATTAGGTTTGTGATTTATAATGTTCGTAGCATGTAAAGAAGTGGCTAAATTTTAATGAGCAGTAGTTCATTTTGCAACAGTTTGTGAGCTAAGCTGGCTGAGAATCATGAGAAATGTAGTCCAAAAACCTGGGCAGCCAAGGTATGCCATCATTGTCCCAAAATTTGAATGTGCTACCCTCTGGCTCAAGTGAATTTTAGTACGGTTTTCAGCAAGTAACTAGTGTTGGTCTTGTTACAAGAGTTTGTTTTTGTACAGTGCACCCTAATAATCATTTGTATAGTGGACATCATGCAAGTTTGAATGATGTATGACATGAAATTTAGTTCAGGGATGAAATGTACATATATCTAATAAAGAATATGGAGGGCTTATGTGTTTTGAACAGTTGCATACCTTCAGCGCAGAGGTTCAGCTAAGGGAGTTTTTTTCCAAATATAACCTCGTTTAATGTATTCACTTGTGTATTCCTGTGAGTGTGTATGCGTGTGTCTTAGGGGTGTAGGTTGTTTTATTATTCAGCTACGGTTTAAGAAAGACCATAGATCTGCCTGTGTGTATTGTCACATGGTGTGGCTGCCTGCTGGTCACTAGCTACTTTCTCTAATGGGAGACTGGTATAGGAACTATGGATGGTCTTATCTGCAGATGACCCAAGTGATCACTTGGAGAAGTAATGTATTTTATTTTCTTTTGTTTGTTAGCTTTACCTGTAAAATGTAGATGTTTGTGTTTAGAATGCATAAAATTTATAGTAATCCAAAAATATTTTACTTATTAAATGCTGCTATTATTGGAATTTATATAGTGCCAATTTATTATGCAGCGCTTTACAATATTATGAAATGGGGAAATATATCAATAAATGAGGCAATTACAAAATGATACGGCAACAATAGGTTAATGAGGACCATGCCCAAACGAGCTTAGTGTTATGGCAATTTTATTTTTAGTTTATTTTGGTATCAGTTTAAATGGCTGTACAACCTATTCTGTTTGATGGCATGTAAGTGTTTCCACAATATGTGCTTGTACATGCTATCTTAGATTATCTGAAATGGTTTGTTTGTTTTAGTTATTTGCTTATTTATTTTTTCATTTTGGTATATGTTTCCATTATATAGAACATGGTTAAGTTATCCTAAACCCTACTTTAAAAGCATCAAGCCTGCCAGAGGTATTCCCTAAACTTCAAACTGCTGCACATTTAAAATCAGGATGGCAAAATTCAAGCTGAAATAGCTAGCCTAGCTGAATTGAAGGATTATGGCAGAACAGCTGTTTGCCTAATTTGTTACAAATTGAATCAATAGGTGCATTTTGGTTTTTTTCTCTCATATGCTTAGATCTGTTTTTTTTTTCTTGTATTCTTTATTTTGTATTCTATATTTTGTACAGAATAAGTTATCATTGCTTAACTGCAATTATTATTTTATTTTTTTTATGTAACACGTTTCTGAAAGGGTGTGTTTTTTTTTTGTTTTTTTTTCCTGCTATTTGCAGAGCACAGAGAGAGGCCCAAGTTTGAATGTGAACGGAGTGATCTGGAGTCTGTTTATACACCATGCTCCTCCCAGTCAGTCACCTGCTCTACTGAGCCACAGTATTCCTCTGGTGGGCAAGCTATCCCCAGCACTGTAACAGTCATCGCACCTGCTCACCACCCAGAGAACACAACAGAGATCTGGTCCAATTACTATAACAACCATAACCTTCCCAACTCGTTTAGCAGAAACCCACCCACTAAACGACGCTGTCGAGATTATGATGGTAAGAAAGACTGTGTAACTCTTTAAGCTCCATATTTATTATTGTACTTGTTCTCCATGATTTTAGCTTTGAACAAATGCCTCTTAAGTAACCTTTGTTTCAGAAACTGTATGAAAGAAACCGAGAAACTCTGACATCCATTTAATATTTTTATTTTAATTAAAAACCACAAGTATAATTTACTCAACTGTATAATAGTTCAAGTTCTGACAAATGTTAAACATTACACAATTGAAAGCTTTGTGGTGGTTGTCTTGAGAGCTTGCAGTTTGAGATTGTTTAAATAAAATGTGTTTCATTTACAAAGAATATTTATTGCTATTATGTATATTACATCAGATGATTGGTAACTGTCCTTATATGCTTTGTTCTTATAAGCTTTAATTTTTTACACCTGCAAATATATATTTATTTTTAATTTTTTTATATTGATCACAGATAAATCCACCAAGACAGATCTTTTTGATAATTTTATTTGTACTTTTAAATAACTAATGCATGCAGTGGTGTGGTTTTTTTTTTTGGTTCTTTTTGTTTTGTTTTTTGTTTTTACATGCATTAAGACTCCATACTTTGTCCAAACCACTATATATCTTATCACTTTAAAGCTTGTTAATGAAAAATTTCATCAGATTAACGGGTTAGTGATAATATTTAAAGGTGTGGCCTGGGGCCTTCTCAGACTCTCACCCTTTGCTAGTTGTCAAGTAAGTTAACGAGCTAGTCATGAGTGCAAGCCTGTCCAAAAGAATGTATGTTTAATTTGATGGAGTTCTTCTGGGGTTGTTCTGTGGTTTGCAACAGTCCAGATGACCTTATATTCATATGGCATTTTCCCCCCTTTATCTCTCTCCATAGAGCGAGGGTTTTGCATCCTTGGTGATCTCTGCCAGTATGATCATGGAAATGACCCTCTGGTAGTTGATGATGTGTCCTTACCCAGTATGATACCTTTCCCCCCTCCCCCTGGACTTCCTCCTCCTGGTATCTTGATGCCCCCCATCCCTGGCCATCACAATATGAGAGTGCCTGTTCCCGGAGTAGTCAATCAGCCTCCTCCATCTGCTGTTCCCCCTACCACAAGTAAGTGAACACTGTAACCATGATCTTGACAACCCCTTCATTTAGTAATCATTTTTGGTTTGGTTTGGTTTGTCTTCTTAGAAAGGACTGTTAATTTAATGTGATCTGCCTTTGTCTTGGCTTGTTTTACTCCACATTGTCTGCCTTTCTGTTTAAGGTTGTAGGAGCTTCACAGTGGTTTAAATTAGAAAAAATATGTCTGTCATTCTGATGCTACTGAAATAAAATTAGCATCTGCACATGTGAATGAAATAATCAGGGCCAGGAAAAAGTAATGCAAAACCTCGACACGAAAATAGACGTGCACTTAACCTCTTTATATTAAGGGATTAGGCTGATGCCATTATATCTTGACATACATGGTAAGATAGTCATTTAGGAGTTAATTTGCTGTAGTCCTTGTAAGAATCAAGATTTTGTGAATGTTAGGCCAGGTTGACTCATATTCTAAAATAGTTTCTTACCTTAAAGGGTCACTCCGGACTTCTAGATTTTTTTTTTTTACAAAAGAAAGTGAAGATTTCAATATAAATTTTCATTCTTATAAATTACACCCTCAAGCAGTGAACATGTCCTGTTACTACCTGGTTTGTTTAGTTCACTAGAGCTAAATTTAAGAGGCATCAATTGCCCAGAGCTCCTTCATTGCAAAGACTTCTCATTGAGCTGCATTGGGTAGTCTGTGATTGGACAGCCACAGAAAGTCTGGACTGTGGAAGAAAGAAGTGAGGGCTTGCAAAGGCATCAGAAACAAGAATTATAGGTCTTTCAAGCTGTTTTTAGTTATAACCCCAATAAAAAAATAAATATATATATATATATATATATATATATATATATATATATATATATATATATATATATATATATATATATATATATATATATATATATATATATATATATATATATATATATAAATAAATAAATAAATAAATAAATAAATATAATATATATATATATATATAAAAATGTGTGTGTATGTATTTTTTTTTTTTTTTGTTTTTTTGTTGGGGGTTCCTTTACTAAACATTATATTCTAAAAATAATATTTTCTATTTGGGCAGTGGAGTATCCCTTTAATACTATTAAAAGCAAAAACTGGCTGTCTGACAGGAAGTGAGGCGTTTCAGTGAAGTTTTATTAAAGTGCTAATTTTCTCTTGGAATCGGCATTTTTATAAACGGTTACAAATATGACAGACTCTAGAAACCTAAAGCTGAAGTACTTTATTTATGTGGAGTGTTCCTTTTAAAGCTGCACGATCACCTTGGGTTTTTTTTTTTTTATTATTATTATTATATGGGAGACACAGTAAGGATTATATAGTCCTATGTATGTGCTGTTATTTGGCAAAATATGGTAAAGAGGGGGTGCTTTATGCAACCCCCACCGCCATAAATTGTAATTTCTACTCAACCTCCAGGTAAGTATATATTCCCTCTATACCAGGCTTTCAACATCGAAGTGGCATGTTGCCTTAAGGGTGGGGAATCCTTGCAAAAAAAATAATAATAAAAAAAAATGCTAAGGCCCCACGAGTGACTGTGTGTTTGCTTTAATATGGGTTCATGTCGTTTTCAGTGTTTAACTTAAAGTGGCATACTAAGAAACATAATCGGTACAACTTCATGTAGTAGTTGTATTGTTTTGCAACTCTATGGTGTTGTGTCAAGCCATCTAGGGATAGCTTGGCAAAACAATTAATCTTTTATCATTGCTCATAGAATGCCCTCTCCTCAGCCACATTGATACTTTTGGACTTCGATGTAACATTTCATAGGTAATGTATTAAAAAGTGGGGGGTGGAGGGGAAATACTCACACACACCAGGGTGAGGTAATCGTAAGCATCTCATTTTAGTCTGTAGGGGATGAAATTTAATTTTAAAATAAACTACTTCTCCTATAATCTACTGCTGATCAGTGTATCCCCAGAAAATTTGTCCCAATCATCATATAAGATGGTTGGAACGGCCCTTTAAACTGATGGCAGCCATACTGCGGCTGCTCTGTCTATACAAAGCCGGTTCACTTTTTATTTATTTATTTATATTTATTTTTATTTTTTTAGTTAACCAGGCTGCATATCTGTGTCACATGAGCCGCAGACTGTGCTTGTGTTTATACTTCTGCTCTGTCTTGAGAGGGGAGAGAGATCTTTCCATATTGTGAATGTGGACTGCGCACAACACACAAAATGGACAAATTATTTGAAACTGAAACAAAGTGTTTCAAACAGATCGATAGCCCTGGTAGACAGTCTTATATTGGCAGCGATTTTAACATATTTCTGCCACTAGAGTCCATCCACGTATATTATTGGGCTCTGGTTGTGCTAAACATTATGCACTTTGCCATCGTTCAAAGTGCTTATGGTGCTTAGACTAGACTAACTCCTTAACACTACCCTATTATCAATGTAAAGGCTAAGAGTGCCTGCGGCCGGTTATGCAAGTGGAGGAACTGCCCAAAAGCGGAGTACTCTAGTGTGGTAAGACCATATAATGAGGTGATACGGTCAGAGACTTAAGAGCACATTTGAGGTCAGGAGATTGATTGACCCATAGAGATCCTTCTTTTTTTTATGTTTTATTTTTTTTGGGGGGGGGGGAATAAGCAAATAGTTGTAAAATGGTATGAGACTGCATGTGGTCTTTTATTTTTATTTTTTTCCAAAAATTATTTGCAATGGAATAAAATGTGTGTTCTGTTTTCCAACATGCAGGGTTACCATTAGCACATACAAATTTGCTGAATAACCGTGAACAGCAAGGATCAAACACTGTACCAAGCCTTGCACCAATCGGAGGGTTGCCTCCTCCCTTACCCCCTCAGAACTTACTGTATTCTGTATCAGAACGTAAGTATACCTAATGTATACGATGATGCAGTTAAATTGTTGTAGTACATAAAAACATGCACAAATTTTGTCTTGCGTAAAACAAAAATTACAAAATGTGCTGTTGCAATCATAAACCTGTTCAGTTTTTCTGTCACACAATATTTAGCCCCATTATAGATGCATAATTTGAACAAACCAATATTATTATTTAGACAGTTTTTGCCAAGTAATATAAAGTAATTTAAATATAAGCATATAAATATTTTTTTGCATAACGTTATGTGTCAAGACTTTTGGAGGTGTTAGAAATATCAAGAATGTTTTGCACTATATAGTAACTTCATTTTGAGCATTTGTTATATGTAGAAGAGCTTATATGATAAACTTCATTATTCTCGTATGGTAAATATTTGGCATCTCTTCTGTGTAAACCTGTGCAATGCAGAACAAACTGCTGATGCTCTTGCTTTGCTTGGATTAGTGATATGGCAGTGTTTTCTCTCTTTCCCAATATAGATACATATGAGCCCGATGGCTATAATCCTGAAGCTCCTAGTCTTACAAACACAGGTAGAACGGCTTACCGACAGTTCTTTACGCGGACACAAACACAGAGGCCTAACTTGATTGGATTAACATCTGGTGACATGGATACAACGCCAAGAGGTGAGTTGCTTGTCAAAAGTTAGCATTATATGTTGTCTGTCTGTTTCATTAGGAACTTCCTTAAAGGAACACTAACTAAAAAGGAACACTAATAAAAGGGAAAAATTACTTTCACCTGCCTCCCTCTCTCCCACCCCCCCACCATCCCTAAGTTGAGTCTAACTCTGTGCTGCCATCTGCTCCCCATCATGCTACATAACCCAGCAGGTGTCACTTGCTTGGTTTCTCATCCAATACTTCTTAAAGAGAGGCGCATGCTCAGTGCTCTTCCAATCAAATGCCTATGCTTCTCATAGGGAAACATTAAAGCGTTTAGATTGCAGGGATAGAGAGACATGGACACTGCTTTCAGACTGGTCCAACTCATAAGGGTTCCACTAAGACAATTGTTTTAGCTTCTCATAAGACTTATTTGCAAGTGTTAAAGGTAACGGTAACAATTAACGGACTTCTCTTTTATAAATTACTTTATTAAATATCAGAACAAGACGCATGCATATCATATAGATATCTCTTTTGACACCTCTAATAGAAATATAGTCTGTTCAGTTGCCTAGAATTTGAGGTTTAACAACATCATGTCCTAATAGACCCTAATTGTCCATAGTGTGCATCTGTAGTGTTATTATTGTTATTATTATTATTATTATTATTATTATTATTATTGCCATTTATATAGCGCCAACAGATTCCGTAGCGCTTTACAATATTATGAGAGGGGATTTAACTATAAATAGGACAATTACAAATAAACTTACAGGAACAATAGGTTGAAGAGGACCCTGCTCAATCAAGCTTACATTCTATAGTGTTGTGGGCATACCTGTCTGAATCTTTCAAGGAAACTTCATTTTTGATACATGATTGCTTTGTAGACTTTCATGTAAGGGCCTTATTGCACAGCTAATCTAAAACCAAAAGTATTAATATGTACATGACACAAAAAAAACACATTTTGCCATAAACATTCCTCTAAAGGCTCTCAGATTAGCGGTCACTAGAGGTGTACACTCGGTAAGCACTGGATTCAATGCTTCATTGATAAGCATCTGATTTACCTGAGGGGAGGAGGTGCTGGGTTAACAGGGAGTTTTAATTGTGCTTTTTTGTTTTTAATGGTCATATCTAAATGTGTCCAGAAACACATTAAGATCAATAATGTATTTATTATTGTCATTGTTCCTTTTATGTCCCTTGGTAATTCACAAAACATGTACCACTCCTCCCAGGTTTATATTGTTTTCTGTTACAGGAAATTCTCTTTATCTAGCAATTTAAGCTAAGGCTAAAATAAGACATTGGTTTTAAGATTCCTTTATCACATTGTTCCGTTACCCTAAATATGATGGCAAGATCACTTCACATTGATCTTAAAGCCTCTTGAAATGACTGCTAATCACATTCCTGTTGCTTAAATATTTAGACTTTTTCTTTCTTTCTTTTTTTAGCTGCTAATATTATCATTCAAACAGAACCTCCTCTACCTGTTCCTGTGAATAGCAACGTCAACAGAGTTGTCGTAGAACCTGACCGCAAACGGCCTCTAGGATCTATTGATGGTCCATTTGCAAAGAAAGCTTGGATAGACAAGTAAGGAAATTGGTAGAGTCAAAAGGCCATACATGTATTTTTTTTTTTTTATGGGATTTGACCTTTTCAGCCTTGTAGACTTGTTTATTACTGAGGACTCTTACTTTATGTCATTAAGTATATAAATGTCTTCAGAAGCCTAAAAATTCCCACTATTCTCTGAGAGACAATATGTATGTAATGCAACACAATTTCAGTCGCAGAAAGCATTAAGGTTTTGAACAGTGTGACCTCACCAGCTGTGCAGTACAGAATTTAAAGATGGTCTGCCCATTGAGATTAAAGGCAAATTATATCATATATAAATAAAATGCAGTATATAACCACCGTTCCCATTTTTATGTCTGAATAGTCTTGGTTCTTGTCTTGGTGACCTTTTTTACCTGAACAGCAACCTATGCACCAACAAAACAATAACAGATTCTGCTTTATTTTTTTAATGCGCTTGATTGTGTATGTATAATATAAATACAACATTTCTTTTTCTAATTTCCAGACAAGGAAGCAACAACCATAACAAACTAGGATTTATGAAAAAGATTCAATATACGAATACCAAACTTGAAGTCCGTAAAATCCCTCAGGACCTAAACAACATTACCAAGTTAAATGAGCACTTTAGCAAATTTGGTACCATTGTTAATATACAGGTGGGTAATATGTTATTGATTTTCTGTTTAGTGTGTGTGTTTGTGCTCTTCACATGATATAATTAATTTGAGTATTTTTGAGCATTGCAGTAGTGAGGAGTTGTTCACCATTGTGTCCAATGTAACATGGCATCCATGTGGCATGTTTTTATATCTGATTCTAAAATCATGGTGATCACAAAGCTATTTTTCTTCTTTATATATCTTAAGGTTGCTTTCCAAGGAGACCCTGAAGGAGCTCTCATCCAGTACTTAACCAATGAAGAAGCGAGGAGAGCAATATCTAGCACTGAAGCGGTGTTAAATAACCGGTTTATTAGGGTGCTCTGGCATAGGGAAAATAATGATCAGCAACCTTCTCAACAGCAACAGCACATGACTCATCATACACAACATACAGCACAAACTGTCCCATCATCTCTGACAGCTACTGGACACATGCCAAAGGTAACATTTTTTTCTGTGTTTTATCAGTTATTTCAGGGCTCAAAATGTTAAGTCCCTACACTTCTAGCTAGACCTAAAAGTGACTTGCTAATGAAAACCTTCTCTTGCAATGTGACCACTGGGGATGGACAGGTCAGGAGTTTTTGCAGACAATTAGCACCCAAATGATTTGAATGGCATTGTGAAATTCCTAGCATATTTGTATTAGTATTTACGATTTGCCAATGGCATAGCAACAGAGGCCAAGGAAGTGTTTAAATTAAAATGGAAATCCTTTTCATGGGGAATATGTATTGGGAGAAATAAAACCAGGCGCAGGGGGAATTAAAGGTCTAGAGCAGCTTGCATAGCCGGTAAACATATGCTGCACTGAGCTAGTGTTAAAAGGCATTCGCGGAAACAAGTGTCTTGCTTGAAGGAGTCAGCACAGATACAGTACACCATAACAATGAGGTGCTTTTTCAGTGCAACAAAATGTAACTAATGGTTTTGACAGGATTTAAAACCAGATGGTGGGGTCTATTAATGTAAATTGTTTATAAAGAGCAATTTTGGGGGCAATCTTTAGGAGTTGGTCAGTCGCTATGGAAACCAGTGGGATGCTCCTTATGCAGTTTTGCCTCAGAGTAGCAATCTTCAATGTGTGTTTCATTCAGTCTGATGAAAACTGCCCCCACATTCAGTTGAGATGTCTTTTGTTGTAGACATATTCTTAGCACTGTGACTGTTTATGCCCCTTGCATAGCTTGTGGTACAAGGGGGCCACACAGTCACTGTTCTGTGAAGCAGTTGGTGCAAAGTTCTTGCTTTTAACTTCAATCAGGAAAAAAACACACACAAAAAGGAAATTAATCGGTCACTTTGTATTACTACCAAGAAGGCACCTGTTGCAAATCATTGCCATTCTAAGCAACTGTGTGAGCAGGGAGACAAAATAAATATAACTTTATTCTTTAAATGTACAGGTGATGTCCAAACCTCCCAACCAGGGTTCCTATTCCCTGAACAAATTACCTATTAAAAATCGTCTTGGATCAACAGCAAGCAACCAGCCTGACACCACATATCTGGCAACAAACCAAACCAGCTCAGGGGAGGAATCTCAGGTATGATATTTCTGCTGCTTCTACAAAAGTTATATTGTAAAAGTGGAGGGATCGGCATGCACACATTCAGTTGGTTTTTACAGCATTGTGCTACATAACCCACTTTATTAAATCACCATTACATATTAGCTCGAATGGTGATTATGGTGAACCATACCTTACTTTGTAATAAAGACCCTGCAATCTGCACTGAGAGTGGATGTTTACAATGTGTGCTTTTCTTTTTTTTTTTTTTCTAATAATATTCAATGAGTCCAAGCACCATAACAACTTTGTTTTAAATATGTTTGTCATCAATCTAAATGCGGGTGTCGAACATAGTATTATTGATGCAGATAGTCGCCTACGCAGAGGCGTGTAGACAACGTGAGGCCGACATATTTCGGGTAGCTCAGGATCATATATGGTCAAAATAAACAAGCAATGACAAATATTGAGTATTCATAGGCCTTGCAAAGCTAGACACACAAAAAAACGTTAAAACCTGCTTGGTACTACATTGTTCAGGCGTTGTTGTCAGGTATGTACCGCTATAGTAGTGGCAGTTAGTAACGTGTAGTCAGCCATCAACTCTGTCAATGTTACTAGTGTGGTTCGTTAATGGGTGCTTTCGTTAAGGTGTGTCTCGCACATTTTGCTGCTAGGTATGCGACATGAACTAAAAAGCGTGCACATGGTGAGTCAGCTGTGCCCCTCTGGGTCTCCCTGATTCCCCCTGTTGTGACTGAACCCCCCCAAAGCCATGCGTCTGTGTCTTTTAGGGAGTTCTACCTCACCGTGGGCACTCAGAGACCAGAGCTGTCCGGCGGTCTCCGTCTCTTGCACCTCCCCAGCCTCACAGGGCCTCCCTGGAGCTCCGGCCCCGTCTTGCCTCTCCCGCCTCCGGCCACTCACATGACGCCGGCTTCGGGCCCGTGCATCTCTGCTCCACCGGGCTTGCAGAATTGGGGGCATTTTCTCCCAGTTGCGGGTACAGCCACCCCAGGGGCCGTGGTGCCCCAGCGTGGATCTCTGCTGCGTGTATGTGGTTTGCCCATCGGCCATTTTAGCTCTGTATAGGGATGCACCATATTCTGGGTGCGCTTCCACCTCCAGCTTCTAAAGTTCCGACTTTTGGGCCGGGATCACCCCCCCGGTCGGGTGGGAGCGGGGCCGATCCATGTCTCCTTTGCCTTCCGTGTGCGCAGTGGACTCCACTCATGCAGCATGTCTCAGGCCTCTGGGTTCGCCGTGTTTAATGTGTGCCGTTTACTCGACGCCTTTCTCCCCGGTTCCCCTTCCTCCTGATCTTGCCTCCGGTTGCAGTTGTCTGCTCAAATCGTGGGTATGTTTTTTTTTTGTTTGTTTTTTTTTTTCACATTTTATGCAGTTCATAGCCGGAGCCGGCATGGATAGCAGCTACTCTCTCTCTAGCAATTTTATGAATACTGCAGCCACAACTTAGACTGAGCTCTGCCTAAGAGCTGAACCACAGAATGTGTATACCCAGTTGCCAACTGTGATCATTCCTGCACACTGCTTAGTACCCTAAATTGTGAATCAGACTGCATGTAAAATATTTACAGAGCTGTTACACTCATCCTGTGTCATGAGAGGAGCCTGTCCTGAAGAATAAAATATTAAACCCATAAACCTTTGCTATTGAGATGGGTTGGTGGGATAAGCGATCTATCTAATGGACCAGAATTAGTTTTTGGTTGGGGAGCCTCTTCCAAGTGAGGCAGTGATCAGCCTTCTATAAACTTATGCTATGCATGTGTTCATGGCAATATAATGTTAAAGTGGTTTTTTGTTTTTTTTTTGTTGTTTAGGAACACTTTTTCTTTATGCACAAGTACATTTATGTAGAATGTTATTTTAGCGTTTACATTTTCCTTTTTCATTGAGCAAAAAAAAAAAAGTGGGGAGACTCCAAAGTGTAAAACAAATGATATATTTAGTTAGGAAGTCATACCAGTATAAAATGTGAAAATAAATTGCATAATCTATTCCCCAATGATCCAACCATGGACCCTAATTCTTGGAAACGTTTGTGTTATAAACAGCAGCGTTTGGTGTATACTTTGATACATAGTTCAGGCTAATGAGCAAAACTGCCATTATCATACAGGAGGGGCATTGCCGAGGATCAAGTATACAATTTTGGCTGTAAACGCAAAGTGAAAGGCTACTGATGAGAGATTGAAGAATAACTTGAAATATGTAAATCATTCAGTGAAATGGTTGAAAATAGTGTTGTGCTCTGGTTGATATTAAAGTAATGGCACTCTTGATAGCATTCACTTTTGTAGTTTAAACACTGTACCTTTTTCCGGGCGTTTTTTTTGTTTGTTTGTTTATTTTTTATATAATTCTTTATTTTTACTGTGCATAGCATTACAACAAGCTGGCAATGCCCCAACAGGTATTGCCAATATACATAAGACATGGTAGAACATAGGTACGACATTGGAGAATACTGCACATTTTTTATTATTTCAATAGTCTCACCCACACATCTAGGTACTGTTAGACTGTTGCTGTGATTCAGAAAAGGGTAACTAGACCTGGAGAGTAGTGTATGTCAATTAATATAAGAGTATACATGCTAGATAATGTAGATGTAAAGCTTGGTTTTAGGCATGCTTGAGAACTTTAAGTTACCCAGAATGGGCCATCCTATACTGCACCCTGGATATTATGGAATCAGGCTCACTATAGATTTCTATAAACAATACAATCTACAAAAAAGAAACAAACATAGACAAAGATATTGTAGTATATTGAAACACCAGAAGTGCCATTATTTAAATTGCACTCGCAGAATAAAAATGCAATGCAGGCATGTAACAATCTTTGGGACTTGACGGACCTCTGTTATCTTCTCTTTAGACCTTAATTAAGAGGGAGAGACACACAGGACATAGTGCACCAGTATAATCTAAAACAATAATTTTTATTTGATTGCACTCACAAGAAAATAGTTGAAATCCAGCATATCAAAACACTCGGGGATTCACAGTGCCGGCATCCTTCCCGTAGCAAGTATTAAAAAGGCCAGATATAACAAATACAAAGAAATACAAATCAAATGAATAAAATCAAAAGTGCTGCCTTAGTCCCTACGTGTTTCGTCCTAAACCGGACTTCCTCAGGGGCAGATAAAGGTCTGTAGTAAAGTATCCTCCGTCTGTCTTTTTTAAAGATAGATGTTAAATCTCCCGTCTTCTCAGTAGTCAGTCGCGCTGTATCCTGGTAATCACATCACCTGTATCCAGTTCGTGAGTTCCAAGCCTCTTTTTCATTTCCGCAGTTCAAAAGTTACATCCGGTATCTCGTGGAAAGCAAATTTGCGTTCCATGATCGTATACCCGGAAGTCCTCGAATCCATATATGAAAAAGTGTAAAAAGACATAAAAAAATAAAAATTGTAACAATCAGATCGTGAATTTAATCGTTTTCCAACATAAAAATTGAAGAATCATAGAGAAAAAAGTTAAATATTTAATATACAAGAAATATAACATTTAAACCAATAGAATCCATTATATCCAAAAAATAATAAAAAAAATTAATAAATATAAACATTCAAGGGAAAATCTAAGGAAAGGATATTAAATAATTAGATATAATAAAAATTCCACATTTAACTATAAAAATCCCATGCTTAAATATAAAAAATTTCATAGTTAAATCTAAAAAGGGGACTTGGATGACCGGAATGGGTATATGTAAATTATCAATTATTTAAAAAACATTTAAAATGATACTCCTAAAAAGCACACCATATCAAAGTCAACATTTAGCCCTATAGGACTGAAGGTCTTAAAATTAAAAATCCAATAACTTTCACTTTGTCGCAATTTTTTAATTAAATACCCATCCAAGGTAACCTTTTCTAAACCTGTGCATAGAAGTGTTTCAAACTTAAAATCTGGACAATTATTACAGTGGACAGGTACGGAATGGGTGGTCAATTTTTTCTTTATTATTATTATTGCAATGTTCCATGAGCCTGATTTTCAAAGCTCTACTTGTCCTCCCTACATACTGAATACCACATCCACAAGTTAAAAGATAAACTGCATTGGTAGTATTACAATCAATATGTTCATTTATTTTAAAAGATTCTCCTGTTTTATAACGATTAAAATGTTGTTGTTTTTTTAGGTTAAAATCTACATCCTTTGCATCTCCCACATTTATAAAAGCCCTTTAGTATTGTAGTTTCCATTTCTTTAGCTCTAAAAGTACTGGGAGCTAAAAAATTCTTACATTTTTTTTTTTACTTTTTTTAAAAATCATTTTAGGTACAAGTGGAATATGTTTTTTTGAAAAGGTCATCTTCCAATAGAAGGGGCCAATGTTTCTGAAAAATCTTTTTAATTTTAAAAGCTTGGGCATTATATTGGGTAACAAAGGATAAAGCAAAATTATCATTAGAATTCTTATTTTTATCTTTATTCATTAAAAGATTATTTATATTGGTATTTTTGCATCTGTTAATTTCTTGATCATAAAACTTAGGAGAATAACCCTTTTCTATAAATTTATTTTTAAGAAACTCAGATTGATCTAGAAACTTTCTTCAGTGCAATTTCTTTTGATTCTAGCAAATTGGCTTCTGGGAACTCATCAAAGCCAATTAGGATGGTGTGCACTTTTAGTATTTATAAAAGAGTTGGAATCTGTGGGTTTAAAAAACTTTTTAGTTCACTATAGATTTCAAAAGAAAAATGCTGAGAAGATATAGAAAAACAATATTTGCATAAAGGTGAAGTAGGATGCTGTTGGGTGTCTGGTAAGCCGTTCAGCCTATGCCCTAAGCAGGTTGCTTACAGTCCTCCCCGTTTGTGGAGAGTCTCAGGCTTGGTGTTGCATGTGCAGGCAGTCGGTCTGATAGGGGTTCTAGTGTTCTGCTCTGTACCTCATCTTGCTGCGCTGACCCCATGCTCGCCGCTGGGTATTGCAGGCATTGTTCCGGTCGGGCATCTCGCCTCCTAGAGGCCTGTTTGTTTGACCTCTGCCTCTTCTTGTGGGTCGATCGTGTAGCAGTAGGTGCAGGTCGGCAGCATGTGCGCAGCGGTAAACCCGGGGGAGGGTGGACTGCCTGCAGGACGTGCTCGGTCCACCTGCACCTCAGCCTCCTCCAGAAGTTGGCAAACACTTCGTCTAGGCGGCGTGAGATGATACATATATCTCCCAGGTAGGTCGGGGAACACGTGGTGTCCGCCATTTTTAGTGTTCTTCCGGGGGCGGGGAGTTGCGGGGCATCATCATGATGGAGTCCAGTCTGCGCCGAACCAAGGTATTGTCCGCTTCTCTCTTCCAGAGCGCTCGCCAGGCCCCACTAATGGCGGTTACAGGCTTTGACCATACAGCAGCAAGTGACCGCAGGAAGTGTGTCCAGGCCGGTCAGCCGATTAGGGGGTACAAGAGTATGCTGTTGGCCCCAGTTGGAGGGCTGCAAGAGCTGGTTAATGAGCTTTAGGCAGGGTTTTGGTAGGAGCTCTTGTGAAATGCGACCTCTCACCATGACAGTCAGGCCCCGCCCCCCTTTCCAGGCGGTTTTAACCTCTTGGTTTTGTTTTTGCAAATTTTTTTTTTTTTTTTTAAACAAAAGGATTGATTAATTGTACCAGTCTTAATCGTATTTGCTTTTCACCACTGTAAATAATTTGTGTGAATGAAAATAACAAAAATTTATATTTTGCAGACATTAGCACCTTCTACTGGTCATTCAAAAATGGTTTACAGCTCTCCAAATTTAAAGTCTGCCACAAAACCCTCAACTGGTTCAAAACCAGTGGATGCTCAAGAAGCTCTTAAAAAGAAGCAGGTATGGTTATTTGACAACTGTTTAATTTGATAGCACTGTGTAGCATTGCATCATGATAGGTGTGCAAGTAATTGTTTTCTTAATTTGGTTGAATTATTCTTTGGAATATCTTATGGCTCTCATGCAGTGAATAATGTCCCACCCATCTAGGTATGAGTTTGTGTGTTAATTTGTATGAACTTTAACATACCATCTTATTCTGGAAGCCGCATGGGTGTCTGATTGAGCCGCAAGGTCTTTATTAAACTGTTGTTTGAGATTTTACATCAGAACGTGCCAAAGGAGTCCTGGAACCATAACTACAACAGAGCTCTGTAGTTGTTTTAGTGGTTAGAGTAATAATTTAATAAAGGTATGGGATTCTCTGGATTGAAATAAAATATATGCATTTAATAGGTATGTTATCTTTTTATGTAGTGGGAGACATTACAGCTACTTTTTAAATGGAGTTGTGTTTTGCTTTTGTTTTTATCTGTTTATTTAAATTGTCTCTGAATAGAGATCACATGCAGAGCTACCCAGCACCCTACTGTGTATCCTCACGTTTCTGCACATGTACTGATGCAGACACAAGGCAAATACTCTGGCTGCCTCCTTGGTGCACAGCAAGAGAAAGTGTTAAATTGTAGTCGAGAATAACACTGTTTGTACATATCTGGCTATCCATCGTCTGCAACCAAGTTTCGATAGATATGAGGTTTTTTTTGTTTTTTAAATGGACTGCTGCCTCTCAGTTTGAAGATTTGTAAATTATTAGTAATGGTCATCATTGTGGGAAAACATTTTTAGACTGTTGCATGGATAGTTGATACTGGGTTTTTTGTTTTTTAAATTACAAAACGTATTTGTTGTTTTTAATTTTTCTTTTTTTTTTCTTTTATCGATGTACAGGAAGCTCTAAAGCTGCAGCAGGACATGAGAAAAAAAAAGCAAGAGATGTTAGAGAAACGTATTGAATATCAAAAGGTGTGTGTGTGTGTGTGTGTGTTTTTTTTTTGTTTTTTTTTACCAGGCACATTAAATTGAACTATTTTCTGAGCGTTAAATTGTGAGACACTATTTCTTTTCGTAAACTAAACCTTATGCTTTATGCAGGCAGGCTGGGTTATTTGCAAAGTCTAGTTTTATATAGTTTAATTAGAAAAATTCTCCATCTAGGCTATTTTTACTTCTGAGGGCCACTCTCTGCAACAAAGCAGCTTCATCTTAATAACCTAGTCTCTGCACCATGCTAGTGGAAAACATTGCCATTTCAGATTGACCGCCTCTAAAGGAGCTTCATCACACATAGCATGATGTCGATGAAGTCTGTGACAAATCTTATAAAGAGACACTAAATCCAGTGCTCCTCTAAGTAGCATTTAATTGGCTGAGAACAGCAGTTGCCGTACATGAATAGTAGATTCCCAGTGCCTTTACGAGAACCGTTGGATTGGACCAGACACCATCTGAAAGGATGATCTTTCAGTAGGAGCAGATGCTGTATCACCTGTGATTAACCTCTTAAGGACCAAACTTCTGGAATAAAAGGGAATCATGACTTGTCACACGTCATGTGTCCTTAAGGGGTTAAAAATGCCCGCACGCCCTTTTGAGTTCCCATTCATTTCCTAACACGTGCCAATTCTGTTTTGAATGAACACCTTTTTCTTTGCCTTCAATAGACATGGAAGAATGTCTATTGAATAAGCTGCATTCTGACCTAATATGGGATTATTTTTGGTTGGAGGCAACTGTAAAAATATGTTTAAGCTAGTGACAAAATATTTTTTTTTTTATGGAACAACTACAATTTTGTTTACTCAATAAGCTGCATTCTGACCTAATATGGGATTACTTTTGTTCAGTTGCCTCCAACCAAAAATAATCCCATATTAGGTCAGAATGCATCTTATTGAGTAAACAAAATTGTAGTTGTTCCATAAAAAAAAAAATATTTTGTCACTAGCTTAAACATATTTTTACTACGTCATAGAACCAAGCACACATCTATTGTATTTATTTGCACAAGTACCTGCGTGTTTGGACGCAATACTATCCTTAACCTTTGGTGTCTACGGATGACGTAATCTGTATCCATTTTTCTAGATGTTGATCTCGAGACTGGAAAAGAATAAAACCATGAAAGCAGAGGAGAGGAACGAGATTATGAAAACATTGAAAGAACTGGATGAGAAGATTTCTCAGGCTAAAGATGAACTGAAGACGCTGTCTGCTCCATCGAAAGTAAAATCAAAAACAGAGGTATTTGCAATATTCATACTCTGCGTTTTTTATATTTGTGCTAATCTATTTGCAAATTATGTTGTAAAGTCATCAGACTTGTATAGAACAGTAAATGGATGAGGTGAGCCCCTATCGCCACATTGTATTGTATTTCTTGCTTTTTATGAGAGGTTCATAGTTGCATATTTTAAGTACAAAGTGTATTGTTCTAGTCTCTTGTACTCTATCTGTTATAAAGTCTTTCTGGGTCTTTACATTTAAAGCAAGAATCAGTGTGTCTGTCTGAAACCAATCTCAAATCAACTGATTATGAAAAATCCATAATGGGAAAACATGTGGCTCCGGGAATACAACATAAGAGAAAAATGTCAAAGCAGTTTCCATTTTTCTCTCCCTTACACACTTTCTTACCACACTAAGTTAACTAATCTTTTCTTTATGGTCAAAGGCACAGAAGGAGCTTTTAGATGCAGAGATGGACTTCCACAAGAGACTGACCTCTGGAGAAGATACAACAGAATTGAGGAAAAAGCTCAGTCAATTACAAGTTGAAGTAAGACAGGTTTTTTTGCTGTACTGCTCATCTCACAACATTCCATAGTGAAATGGTAGTTAAGTCATGTCAATTACAGTAGGCACTTGCTGAACACATAAATATAATAATAATAAAGGTAGTGTTTAAAGTGCTCTTTAATAATGCTAAGAAAAGTCTGATGACAAAGCCTTTTTTTTTTCTTTTTCTTTTTTTTGATTGCAGCAGACAGTAATAAACACTTGATTTCTTTTTAAAGGCTGCTCGGTTAGGGATTCTTCCTGCTGGCCGTGGAGGGAAGACACTAACAACTCAAGGCAGGGGTAGAGGAAGAGGACGTGGTGCACGGGGGAGAGGACAATTAAATAATATGGTGGTTGATCATCGGCCGAAAACAATATCCGTGATTGGCTTTTATGAAAAAGAGAAAGAGGAGCTGCTCCAGCATTTTGCTGTAAGTACAATGCTTTAGTAGGTAATCAGCATAGATACCTCTTCTTTTTTTTTTATTTTGAATTATGAAGCAATTAAGTGTTGTTGCTTTATTTGGGAGCACTCAAGCATTAAATTCAACATTGTAAAGTAGTTTTAAGACTGGAAACATGTGGTTTACCTCCCATTCTTCAAGTGTAATTAACAGTGAAATTTGGCAAAACCTTTTTTTTAGGCAGTGCTGCTACATTTTATTGTGGGCGGTTGCATAAGATAGAGATCAATGGGATGCAACGACTTCCAGCCACTTGGGGGACCCACTGTAATATGTGTCCCGACCTAGGTGTTAAGACCTTTCTAATATAACTATTCATGGCTGATTCCATTAAATATACTGTGACGCTCTACGTAGTAAGCCTTTCCCAGCTCAAACTTGTATCCCTTCTTGTAGTACTTTAACTAGGCATTTTTGTGAAACATGTTTTCAGATTTCTGGTAAGGCATATAATAGTTATACACGAAAAGGAGAGAGTTCGGCGCTAATTAACACACAATTAGTAGAGGTAGGCAGCAACCCAAACGAAGGAAAACCCCTCAGGTCCTACAGTGAATAAACACAGATAGAAAAAAAATAAGTATAAGGGCTGCGCCAAAGGGAGGAGAGCAGTCCAGTAAAATATCGCTAGGATACCAGTGGATACTCGGGGATACTTGAAAGGGTTTTTTGGTGGAGGTAGGTGCGTCTGGTGTTGACCATTCAGTATATGAAAATACGAGAGGTAGAGGCGACCAATGGTGTAGTATGTAAAATTCAAGGTGCAGTAAATAACAAAAGTAGAGAACTCACATTCGGGAGAGCTATGGCCAGCTCTGGTGTGAATCGCGTGCCATAGCTCTCCCGAATGTGAGTTCTCTACTTTTGTTATTTACTGCACCTTGAATTTTACATACTGCACCATTGGTGGTCTCTACCTCTCTTGTATTTTCATACACTGAACGGTCAACACCAGACGCACCTACCTCCACCAAGAAACCCTATCAAGTATCCCCAACTATCCACTGGTATCCTTGCGATATTTTTCTTGGCTGCTCTCCTCCCTTTGGCGCAGCCCTTATACTTTTTCTCTATCCATATAATAGTTCTGTTCGTGCCCCACTGACTTCACAGACAGATTGGGTATGTTGTGATATATTCACTAAAACCTGAAGTGAAATGAAAGCCAAATCACAATTTGGAGTGGTAGACTACAGCTATTTGTGTTGATAATATTGGATATATGCACATCCTTCAGCCCATACGGTTTCATCCTGAGATTCTGGGTTAGAGTGTGCATTCATCCCATATTATAGAGAGAGAAGCAAATTTAAATGTCCTTTCAATTTGAGTTCATTTGATTTGCGTAGTATAGAGCGAATATATAACTTACCTGTTTTCGTTATTTTATCTCAAATTTACCTCAGTGTCCTTGTTATTCAGTTTTTTGCTTTATAACTCAGTGTGTCGTACTGTCCTTTGATCAACAATCCTGCATACTGATAAACACTGCTTATCTGGAATTTAATGATCGTGTGCCAATGTAATCACATATCCTTGGAAGATTAATGTATGCATACCTTGTTTCAGTAAACTATATCTACTCTACTGCCGGTATGTAATACTTTTTCCCTCTTTCTGTTGTAGAAATTTGGTGAAGTTGAAGACTTGAATGAAGAAGAATTCCCACCAAGTGTAATTTTAACATTTAAGACTAGGCAGGAAGCTGAAAATGTAAGTGTTTTGTGGGGATGAGGGGGAGACCTTGTCACAATTTCTACATATGTTATATGCTATAAATACAGGTACACATCTAATTTCTTAGTAAATTAACTCCTTAAGGACCGTGGACGTATAGGGTACATCCGACAAAAACCTATTATTTATTACTTGCTAAGCAAATATTTTACTTATCCGATCGCCGCTATTCCCCCGCCGGCGATCAGTGTTGCTCCCAGTCTGGGGGGTATACCTGACCGTCCCCACTTGGCAAATTAGACCCCTGCCTGAAAGAGCGGTCACATGGTCACAATAGGCGTCCATAGTGCTGCCTGAACTGACAGTCTCCCTGCTTCTGTTAACTTAAAAAAAAAAAAAAAAGTTAACAAAAATGGATATATATTACTAAATATATATATCTATATCTCTATATATCTCTATATACATAATTTCATAAATATAGACGTAGACTTCAGATATATAAGTGTGTGTGTGTGTGTGTGTGTGTGTATATATATATATATATATATATATATATATATATATATTTAAATTATACGTGCAAACCAGGCCAAAAGTCCAGAGAATTTAATTTACTAGCACTGTATTTAACCCTGTAACTTTACATGACACCCTAAAATCTGTACATGGGGGGTACTTTTTTACTCGGAAGACATTGCTGAACACTAATATTAGTGTTTCAAAACTGTAAAACATATCACAACGATGATATTGTCAGTGAAAGTGAAGTATTTTGCATTTTTCACACACAAACTGCACTTTCACCGATATTGTTGATGTGTTTTACTGTTTTGAAACTCTAATATTTGTGTTCAGCAAAATCTCCAGAGTTGAACAGTACCCCCATGTATAGCTTTTATAGGGTTTTTGAAAGTTAAAGGGTCAAATATAAGACTTGATTTTCCATTTTTTTCACCGTGAAATTTGCCAGATTGGTTATGTTGCCTTTGAGACCGTATTGTAGCCCAGGAAGGAGAATTACTCCCATGATGGCATACCATTTGCAAAAGAAGACAACCCAAGGTATTGAAAATGGGGTATGTTCAGTCTTTTTTAGTAGCCACTTAGGCACAAACACTATTCAAAGTTAGCGTTCATAATTGTTTTTTGCATTTTTAACACTCAAATATAAATGCTAACTTTGGCCAGTGTTTGTGATTAAGTGGGTACTAGAAAAGACTGGACATACCCAATATTGAATACCCTGGGTTGTCTACTTTAAAAAAAAAAAAAAAAATGTACATGTGAGGTGTGATTCAGAGGTTTATGACTGTTACAATGTCACTATTGATCAATTTTAAACATCTATTTTGAAACGGCAATGTCCTACTTATACATATAGCCCTTTGACTTACAAAAAAATAAAAGCTAAGAACATGTCAACTTTGGGTATTTCTAAACTCAGGACAAAATTTAGAAACTATTTAGCACGGGTGTGTTTTGGCAGTTGTAGATGCTTAACTGATTTGGGGGGTCAAAGCTAGGAAAAGTGTTTAAAATTTTTCATCATATTTTATAATTTTTTTTAGTAGATTATATGACATGATGAAAATAATGGCATCTTAAGAAAGACCATAAAATGTCGAAAAGAACTATATATAATGTGTGGGTACAAAAAATGAGTAAGAGAAAAATTACAGCTAAACAAACTCTGCGGAAATATAAAAACAGCCCTGGTCCCTAACGGTCTGGTCATTAAGGGGTTAAAAAATCCTTTAGCTCTTTCCCCAAGTTTTGAGACCTAGCAAAGGACTATCAGCGCTCTCTCTCTCGCGCGCGTTCGCTCTCTCTCGCGCGTTCTTGCTCTCTGTCTCTCTCTGTCTCATTATCCCTCTTCTCCATGAGATTTTGAATAATTGAAAAAAGCACATGAGGGGGAAATTAATTTTTGTATGCAAAACAGGATATGGTCTTGGCTTTTGCTGCTATAGTATAGATAACTATAAACCTTCGTAGATGACATTGAACTTGCTAGAGTCTTGCATGTTAAGTGTCATCTATGTGGATTTACAGTATGGAACATGGCTGTTCCTGATTTATACAGATTTTATATGTGAATTTCATTGCCAGACAAAATTCCATACTTCTTGCTGTAGGAAAAACAGTGTCCCGACAAGGACATAGTTGTACAATCACTTAGAGTTTAATTTAAACAAAATTGAGAGTTGGTTAAAATGGCAGCACATTAGTTCATAGTCTGCTTTAGCGTGGCAGTCGAGTGTTTTTGCAAATATAGAGCTAAAAAGTTATTTCTGAAGGTTTTTTTTGTTTTGTTTTTTTTGTCTTCTATAGCTTTTCTGATGGTTTGTACAGACTACAAGTAATAGGTCCCCAGATAATTGGCATCCTGCAAATCCTTTGTTTGTGCTCAAATTGGTCATTAGGGGCAGTGTAGCAGAGCTCACTTTCTATTCCCAGCAAAATTTAGGCTTGGCTAGTAGCATAGGACTTTGAATATTGAGCCCTGTTTAGGATATTTGTCAACTCCTATTTCTATAAACCTTTAACAAAACAATCTTGATTTACCGCTGTAATGAATGCTTATTTATCAGACTGATACCTCATTTTTAAAGAAAGGGGAAAGAAAACCTACAGAAATCAGATGATATCAATTTGACGGCATCATTAGTCCTGCGATGGCTAATGCTATAAAAGGCCACATTAGATGTAATTGTAATGATCATTGTTACTAAATGCCTATACCTCTTATGTTGTTTAGTTTTAATTTCGTTCCAGCTTAAATAAAAGGGATCAGATAATGTGTTTAGCATTATGCATATGTGTTCATGTATTATGTTATATAAATATATCTGGAATATATGTTATATAAATATAATATTGAAAGCAATGTTTTAATGTGTACTTTTTTTAAATTAGGCTGCTAACCAAGGGTCAAAATTTAAGGGCAGAAAGCTTCAGGTATCCTGGCATAAACCTAAGACGCCCTCTGTAACCACAGAGATTGAAGAGGTAGAATCCAAGGAAGAGGTAAGTGGGTGCTCCTAAATTTAATGCTAGGTGCTTGTTGCTCTTTTGTACTTTAGAATATTCCAGTGTTGTGCTGTTACATAGTTATTCATGTTAGTTGACGTAAATCATTTTTATGTATATACACAGGGTATATATGTCTTGTTTTAATTGAGATACTAAGTTTGATGAGTAACCGCTTTTCCACTTGGATTTCTTTGAGGTTGAGATAGGTGGGCAAGTTGTCTGGCCTGCATGTCAAATATCACCCCACCATTCTGTGGTGAGACGTGCAAGGTTATTCACTAAACAAAGCGCATAATACTGGAGGACAGGCCAGATGTCACTTTAGAGCAAGCATGTCAAACTCAAAGGCAAGCACGGGCCACATACAAGGTTTAAGTTTATGTGGGCCGAAAAAGGAAAAACATTTTCATAGAAACGTAGGTTTGTTTTGAAAAGTACAGTATATATATAAAAATTAAAAAAAAGCATCCCAGTCGAAACTAAACCCCGGCCCTTGATTTACATTTAAAAAAAAAATACAATATTAGCCAACAAGCAGGCTCCACTTACATTGTCGCTGCCAGTATGCGACTCTGGAGTCCAACCTCTGGTATACCCGCCGTCTGCAGCCTGTGCCAAAGCAGATTCTCCCACTACTCCTTGAAACCCTGTTAAGATGGAGCACAGGTCCTCCACTGTCCAGCCGCAGCCATCGCACTGACCCACACACACTCTCTCGCTGAGCCAGACACATATCCACATTATTGCACACACTAACATTTTATTTATTGCTCCCTACCTTTGGGAGCTGGTGTGAATCCTGTTCCTGGGGTCCAGTGGGGATCTTCTCTGAGGAGCTCAGTCTTCCTGCTCCTCAATGCTCTCTCGCGCACGCAGTTTAGTGGTGCCGGAATGATGTCCTATTCCGGCATCACTACAGAGGGCGCGTGTGAGGAGCAGGAAGACTGAGCTCCCTCGCTACCGCCAGGGACCTCTACTCCCAGGGCTGGTAAATTTCTCTTTTAAGAAGAGCAGGTGCCTACTCTGCTTTAGTACGCATGTGTCAAACTCGTGGCTCGCTGGGCCACAAAGATATTCATTGTGGACCGCGAGTTTGACATGCTTGCTTTAGTGCAATATAAGACCACAGTCCTCAACTGCAAGCCATTGGCTTCTGTCAGTGATTCAAATCCCTTGTCCATCCTGCTTTGCTCTAAACTGACATCTGTTTTCTCCTGCTGGAGAAAATCGTATGTAGTGCAGGCACCCAGGTTAGTTGTCAAGCCATGCTAAAGTAGTTTCTTAACTTACTGTAGCACTGCTCATGGGCACTCTTGGTACAATGACCATTACAGTGGACTAAAGTTATGAATCTTAGAGTATTTCTTTAAAATATTAAATTCCATTCTAAATTATCTAGAATTCAAAGTGTAGTGGAACCATGGCTAACACAATCATTTTTGCAAGACTTACTGCATGCACCTTTAAAGGGACTCTCCAGTGCCAGGAAAACTAATTTTCCTGGCACTGCAGAATTCTGCAGTGCCCCCACCCCTCATCTGACGTTGCTGAAAGGGTTAATACCCTTTCAGTGACTTACCTGAATCCAGCGTTTGTCTCTCTGCGCTAGGTCAGTCTCCACCCACGCTCCTCCTGGCAGGGGAGACCTAATGCGCATTTATAAAAACTGCAAAAATTACACTTGCAGAGTTAAGGGTGGTGGGAGTTAGCATCCAGACTACTCCAATGGGCAGAAGTGGTCTGGGTGCCTGAAGTGTCCCTTTAAAGTTAAGATGGTTGGTGTTTTGTTAAGTGTGCCACAAATCTGCATATACTAAATGGCTGATCTTTACATATTGAACTGTCTTTTAAGGAGAATGATACATCTGACCCATTCCTTCATGAAGATGATGATGAGGATGAGGATGAAGACGGGTCTCGCTATTGGAGAAGATGAGACAACATAAATGTGCACATACAAATTCAGTTTTTCTTTTAAAGATTGTCAACAAGATCATTTTACCATTCTAAATGGAAACAAAAAAAAAACAGAATAATCCCCAAACAGCCAAAAATGTATTATTTTTTTCCTCCTCTTTTGCACAATTAATGGCACAATTGTGTAAACTATGTAGAATGTGACATTTTCTGTGAAAGCCAAAGGCAAGATTTTTTTTTTTTTCTTTTCTTAAATCTGACAAGGTATGAGCTACAATGTCTTTAAAATGGGCATTTTTGGTTTATATTATTTTATAAGCTTTAAAGTTGAAGCAGAAAACATGTAACTGAAGAGTGTTTAAAACGCAACAGTTAGGCGCTGTTTTGCAGTTTACGTCTTGTTTCATTTTTCAATTTATCAAAAATAATTCTTGAACTTCCAAGTTAATGCAGGTTTGTTTTTTCTGGTTTTCCATTTCCCACATAATTAAGATTGTTTTGTTTTGTTTTTTTTATGCACTCTATATAGTTTTAGCCTTCTTGGAGTCTGTTTTAATTTTTTTTTTTTTGCTTCATAGTGTAACAGGCATTTCTAATGATCCTCATTGAATCATTGCTTACTTTGAATGAGTATCATCACCCTTGTTCTGAGTACTTAAAGGTTTTAGAGTAAAGTGGGTCAGACCTGAAAATGTTACACCCAGTCCTAAAGTATTTAGCATGAAAAGAGGTCATTTGCCAATTGCATAATAAAACATTCGCAAAACTAATTGTTTCCCTAGTGGTACAACCTATCCTCGGCTAATCCATTCTTAGCAAAGCCCTGTAATTTATTTTTGAGGATTACTTAGATTGCAATTACCCTCTGGCCTACACACACACAGTTCTATGACTCTGTGTATCTCAGATATAATAATCAGAAAATATCACTAAATATTACTTGACTCAATTTGTTTCATTAAGAAGGAAACATTTTGGAAGGATAGGCTCTCTGTTTTGAAACATGCGCAGTACACTGTGATGCTTCCCTTGCCATAGATCATTTATTGTGGGAAATAATGAACACAGAAATGTTATCTGTGAAAATTGCAAAAATTCCAGTTTTAAATCTTTTCTATTGCTGCCACAGGCAACATATTTTCATGTATGTTTGGCAATCCATTTTTCATGTTTAGTTTTGCACTCCTGTAGGTTCTTGTTGATAGTGAAAATATTAGTAAGAAATTTGAAGAACTGGTTAAACTTGTCAGATGCACATTCACACGAGTGCTGTGTTGGTGTCCAGCTCCAACTTGTCTGTGATGAGCACAATAAAATTTTCGTTCGTACTAAGTTCAAAATGATATGCTTAAAAGTCTTGATAAAGCTAGATACATAAATCTAAGCAGACCCAATGGGGCACTGTTAAGTGACCTTAGAAAAACAATTCTTTACTTATAAACCAAAAAAAATCTGGATTGGAGTTTTCCGATTTAATACCTAAAAAACAAAAAAAAACTGCTGGCTTATAGGAGTCTCGTGAGCAGTTTTTTTTTTTTCTTCTTCCCAATTTGCTCATGGTTGCCATCTTCTTTAAATGCACTTTTCTGCAGCAGGGGGCTTGATAAATTAGTTTTGGGCTTATCAATCATTACCTTTACTGTGTAACACGTATTTTATTTTAATTTTTTTTTTTTTTTTACATTCTCATCCTTTCAACAGTTTATATGGGCGGGTGGGGGAGGGAAAGGGGGCAGTGAAGAATGAGGGGGTGGGTTTGGGAGAACAATTTATATATTCTGTACAGATGTTTTCTTAATATGTATAATTTTGTACATAATTTTCTGTTATGTGTACTAAGTAGATTGTTAAATAGATGTCCCAAAAAGTTTTATTTTTGTACCGCAAAGGGTTGGTGAATCAGACAGACTGCACATATAATTGACCTATTCATTTTATGACAAAACTGTTAGGAGAGCCCAAATAGGTTACTAAGTAAAGCTGACTGTTGGCACATAAAGCACGTTTTCATGTCATACTGTGAGCATTGATAGAATCATGTTTTGGTTTTCCCATCACTTATTGCCTAAGAACATTTATAAGAGGTCTACTTTAACAATTTATAGAGAGTAATTTCAGTATTTTATTTTTTTTTCTCCAAGTTTAGTAAAATACATTCAGCTGTTAATGACTTGTGTGCGTTCAACAAACCCCTATTGGTACTCTATAGTTTTGATGATCTTTAAATATCTTGCATTCTCAAAACCCATCAGGGAAGTTGTTCATTGTTATTCTTTATACTCTATGTAATTTTAATTATATCCTCAAGTTTTCTGACCCAGGGATAATTCAGATTATACTGAATTTGAGCTCCTTTTTAGTTTCCTTCGCTTTTCAGTCATTTTCGTTCAAATATACATTATTTCACAAGTTTTTTTGCTTGTTTACTCATTTAACCACCGCAATGTAGGTCAAGACTTGTTTGGAGTTATGTATATTCTAACCTTTAGGGCACATGGGCTTTTGTATTGAATGTCAATCTTACTTAACAAAATATTTGGTCTATTAAAACAAAAAAAAGACCTATTGAGGGTTTGAGAATACCAATTCTTATTACAATTAATAAATCTGTTTCATGTAAATAGTGCCTTAACTAAATTTAAAATGTGCTTTTATGTAAAGATGCAATTTCCATGTGTAACTGTTTAACTGCTAGTTGACCATGCAGTGCAGGTGAAGCAATGTAATGGAAGATGACCAGTATGTGCTATTAGGTGTGGAGCCTTTTGTTAAATGGGTCACTAGACAATAAAGGACTCAATCCCACAGTGATTAATACCATTACCCATGAGGGTTCATTTATAGGGACAATCCAAGATCCTTAAGCACTACAACTTTTTATAGTGATTACGGTTCTTGAAAACTGTGGGTGCAGTACTTTGTTGTGATGTTTTTGTTAAACTGTTAAACATTGAGGAATTCAGTGCACCCAGTGCTCCTACATTAACTTTCAACATCATAATGAGGACGCATTAAGAGAGCTGGGATGTAGGATAATCTGCTTCATCCAGTAGCCACAAACTTTTGGATGTCTTGCATTATTACTGCAGTCTTTGTGTCAATTACATGGTGCTTGGAAGCCTTAGAAAGGATTCAAAGTAGGAGAATCCTCCTATGTTCCATCATAGTGAGCCTCATACTGCACTGACTGACCATGCAGTGTAGGAACTTGGAACAGTTAATGAGTGTAAGAGATCCTCATTATAATTGTGTAAGTTAAAGTGGGTGGGCATTGGATGTTGAAGATTCCTTTGTTTTTGTTTTTTTGTCATACCATTTCAAATATGACAAAGACTGTGTTGCTGCTTCTTAGCACCATAGCTACTACAGGTAACTGTAGTTGTTATTGTGCATCAAAGCACTTTTAAATTTTTAGTGACCATTCTATGCCACTTGCGGTCACATTACTCTTTACCTTTTCTTAATCATCGTTAAGTTTCGAGATCAGCTGTCAGACTTCAGACTATTCAGAATACAGCTCCATTGTACCTTTGCAACAATTGCTGTTTTGGCTGTCAAAGGTTTGTGGAAATAGTAGCTGAACAGCCGGAGGACCTTTATTTGTTTTTGTGTGTTTTTTTCCCCCCTTCTATAAAGGTACAATGTTTTGCAAAATGCTTGTGAGAATTTTTTTTAATTTTTTTATTTTTAGCTTTAATTTCTGACCTGCATCCAATGTTTGTTTTCTTATAATTTTCTTTTTTTAATTTTTTTTAATTTAAGCTTAGACAGGAAAAACCCTTGTATATTTACACATTTGTGTGGATTTGATTTTTTTTTTTTTTGTTTGTTTCTATTTTTTTTTTATAAATTAATGTATACCAAGCAAGTGCTCCTCATGCATTGCCAAGCTTGAGTAAAAATGGGCCACAGAAATGTCAGTGTCATGCGAATAGGGAATGATTATCTCTGATGTACAGTATAATTGTATTATAGTTTTTACAATATGGTGGATATGTGTCATAGTATGATAGGCAATATTGTTGAATTTCTAACTGTTTATACATTTAATTCATCCTATGTAATGTTTGTTTTATTGATTTAAAAGCTGAATTTCTAAGAGCATGTTCACTTTTGCAATAAAGAAACATGGTTCAGTGGTTCAAAACAACACCAGTAAAAAAAAAAAAAAAAAAAAAAAAAAAAAAAAAAAAAAAAAAAAAAAAAAAAAAAAAAAATCAGAACAAAAAAAATAAAAAGACGAAAAAAAAGTCAATGGGAAAAAAACATAAACCATTCAAACATCCTTCTCACTGTATTAATTCGGCAACCGTATCAGAACCACTCCAGAAATTTAAAAGTTAACTCCCTTGTTTGTGTGATTTTATTCTTTGCATGTATTCGCCTATTGGCACTGCTGCAGTTTTGTTTTCATTTTATGAGAGTCTGCTGATTGATAAACAAACGGATTAAGCATTGCATAGAATCTGTGCTTGCAGAGAAAGCTTAAAAAAAACAAACATACATTGAGCAGACGTCCTCGGTTTAATATTTTTGGATAAAAATTTTAAATGACTAGATATTTTTGGTATTATATATATTTTTAGTTTGGTATATTTGTAAAAATATCATTTGAAAAGCTCATCACATTAGAGGCAATTGATGGAACTGTCAATCTTCACCAAGGAATTTGATTTAAAAAAAAAAAAAAAAAAAAGTTGACAGTCCTTCTTTCCCCCTCCCTTTTCTTTAAACTAACAAAACTTTATATTCTGTGGCAAAAATACAATACTACAGCTTAATGTACTGGTTCTGGTAGCTACAGCCTGTCCCTGCAGGCCTTTCAATGTAAACACTGCCTTTTTTTAGAGAAAAGGCATTGATTACTTTGCTGTCTAGACACACCTCTAGTGGCAGTCATTAAGTTGGCCACTAATGGTGCTACCTAGTTCAGTGATGCACGGTGTGCAACACCTACATTCAGCATCTCCACGCTCTGCATGGAAGCACTGACTATTCCCCATAGATTGGGGCAGTGTGTCGTGAGTCAAAACACCTTTCCCGTGTGTTTGTATGAGAGGGTGTAGGTTACCAGATTCCCTCCAGACACATGCACACTTCCTCACATTCACAAATTATATTTCTCCTACATTTGGGAGGAGTGGATCCTTTCCCTGGGGTGCAGTGCGGGGTTGCTCTGATCATCTTCAAGCTCTTCTTACTCTGCTTCCTTGTGTTATGATGAGGGGCCGGAGTGAAGTTATATTCCGGCACCACTGCAGGGCGTGTGCGGAAGCAGAGCAAGAAGATTACAAACTCCTTTGCTGCCTCCCCGCTCCCCAAGTCGCCTGCCTAATTCTCCCCAAGACAGCTGGCCGGCTTGGAGTAATGCGCTCACAAATCCGAGGCACCAGGACAGAATTCCTATTCACCATGATGAGTTGGGGCCTGGGATTTTTAGAGCTCTGCTGTGTGTGTGAGAGAGAGAATGAGTGCCTGTCTGTGTATGAGAGACTGCCCGTCTGCTTGCTCTCGTGTGGGGGAGAGAGAGACTGTATGTGGCTGTCTGATTGGGACTGTGAGCATATGGCAGTATTTGACAGTGTATGTGTAGAACTGTACATCTGACTATGCAAAAATATATACACCTCCATTCTCACGTGGATCTACATGTGTGTCTTTATCGGAATCTTCAGAACTACATGTTCATTACACCCATTACAAATATCACACAAAGCTAACACATAGCATGCACTTCACACCTATCACATAAAACCAATACAGACACATACATTCATTACTTTATATTATTGTGAGATTTATTACAGGGGTAATCAGTCAAACAAAATAGGCATTTTATAGTTGAGGAACTCTGTGATATGTTAATAGGCACAATGAGCGTTGTATTGTTGTGGAGTGCTGTGACACTCATACACTGCACATTACTGGGAGTTTTATTTTTGTGCAGTTCTGTGCTAAGCTTGCACACACTGCATAGTACTATGAAAGGGTTTTTTTTTTTTTTTTGCTGCTCTGGCGCTTATTAAGTTGATAAACACAGCATAGTACTGTGAGGTTTTTATGCAAAGGAGGTCAAAGTTAATAGGAAAAATCCAGACCTCCAAGGCAAAATGACTTGGCGCTTTGTGACAGTGGCAGATCATGAGTAGCTCTGGCCTATCATCTGATTACAACAGCAAAGCTCAAAAATTGTAAGTGCCTGAGCACGCAAGACAGGTACTTGTGGTCGGCATTGGCAGAGACAAGATTCCCAGCACACTCAACCACCAGAGATCACCATGTCCCTGGGACAACAGGGTAGGGAAATGATTTTATATATATATATATATATATTTATTTTATTTTTTTATTAAAAATCCCCTGTACTCTCCCTATACTTGGATGAAGGGGTATGGCCAGGAAGAGGCATGGTGAAGAATTTTCTTTTCGCACAGGGTGCCTAAAGGCCTAAGACCTGCCCTGTCACAAATGGCATGTTTTAAACCTTATCCTGTGGCCATTTTTTATTTTTTACTTTGTACCAAGCATCATGGTAAGTATTTTTTTTTTTTTTTTTTTCATTTTCACACGTTCAGATTTTGCTGCATATTGTATAAACCCTGATGTGTGCTATGGCAGTATATCACTTACTATGTTGCTCAGTTAATTAATAATTACCTTGTAGGATTAAGTACTCCTCTAGTGGCTGTGTATCAGACAGCCACTAGAGGGACTTCCGGCTTCTTAGAACACGCTTTAAATTACGCTGGACGTGCTCATACTATGCATGAGGACCTCCAGCGTTGCAGGAATCCCCATAGGTCTCCCCTGCTGGCTTACAACGGGGGAGGAGCATAGGCGGAGCCTGACCCAGCACCAAGGGACATCGGTGCTGGATTCAGGTAAATCACTGAAGGGGTTTTAACCCCTTCAGCAACATGGGATCGGGGATGGGAGGAGGGCACTGCAGGATCATGCAGTGCCAGGAAAACAGGTTTGTTTTCATGGCACTGGAGTCCATTTAACCCCTTAAGGACACATGACGTGTGATGTCATGATTCCCTTTTATTCCAGAAGTTTGGTCCTTAAGGGGTTAAGCAAGTTGCTAGTTCTAACTACAGTTGTTGCTGAGCCTATATCTAATTTTAGAGCATTTTAGCCGCTCCTGATTGCTTGCAAGTTACCTCACAAAGGCCACATATATTTATTTTAACATATAAGCATCCCATCAATTCAAATTATGAACAAGGCCATACTATTTGCTGTGAAACGGGGAATATTTGTTATTAAATTATCAAGGTGTAGCCAGTCATCTGTGTCACTAGCTGAGCTAGAGCAATCATGTCTTTTGGGTGTGGGCCCTGCAGATTTAGGCAAATAATCACCGCATTTAAACTCTAAACCATTGTCTGCTGCCATTTGAGTCATCTGTCAAATAGTCCAATCAAATGCTTCTTTAGAAGAAGTATATGATTGGACTGTTTGAGGTCTTTGGTAATGTCAGAAGAGGCGTGGAAAAAAAGCGCTTGGAGCTTCAACTGGGGCTGGGTTTCAGGAATGTTTTAAAGTCTTTTTTTCTTCCCCCTCGCTTTTCATTTTCTAAGATTACCCAAAAAGGCACTGTATATTTATTATATATTTAAAAAAAATAATAATAATTCTTTACTTTCGTGGTAAGTGGGTTTTTTTGGGTTTTTTTTTTTTTTTTAAACGGGTTACACTGAGTAACCCTTTTTCACTAATTTTCCCAATTTGCCACTAACTACCATCCAAGAAAAACATGCAATATTGGCAAATAAAATCCACAGGTAATGCAAGTCAGTTAAATAAACCTTATTACTTAATTCGTAACTTTTATTCCAACTATAGGGTATTAAAATAACAAATCATTGCAAACACCTTAGTGGAAAATACAGTAAAAAAAAATAAATAAATCCCTAGACAAACTGCCGAACATGTTTCATGCTGAATGCATTTAATCTTCGGCTGAAGAGACAAACCTCCAAAACCTCAGCTACAGCAATCGCCCAATTACAGAGGGAGACTTTAACCCTTGCAAAACTTAAACAGCAAATGGACTTAGAGTATGGCAGTGTCAGTCTTAAATTTAGCCACACATGAGGATAAAAGCAAGTAGACATGTGTAACCAAATAAAAACAAATTATGCATTCATTATAAATAGCAAACCAGCCCAGTATAGAAAAAAAAAAGAGGGGGTGGGGGATGCTTTTCATCATTAGGTAGAGCACTTTCTATATAAACCATCAAGGCCCTCATTCATACTAAATCCATATATAGTTATCAATACAAAATCTTAAAGGTGCAAACCGATGAAAACTATAATTGGGCACATCTAATTCACTATTTAGACCATGTGATCTCGGAGTACATTGTGTGAATATCCACTTAACCTCAGAGTAGCCTAACCTAGACCTACAGTCACCCCTTCTGTAGGGTTTAGTGATACTATCTACCATCCACCCCAGCTAGTAAGTTTGACAAAATTAAATTGAAAAAATAATAGATTTAACTAGTAATATATATTTTTTTTTTCCCTGTTGTGAGTGGCAGTACTGCAAACAAGTGGGTAGTCGCCTCCTTATGTGGACAAGTAGTTCTGCAAAATAGTAATAAGCAAAGTAATTAAATTAATTCCCTCCTCCCTGCCTATAAACGGCCATACCTCCAAAACATCCCCAGCTCTTCTTGTCCCGGCATCGGGACAGACAGGGAGCTCAGATCAAGGCTGGTGAGGCTCATGGGATGACGCCTCGGGGAACAGGACCCAAAAGATCCCCGGGTGGTTGAGTGGCGCCCTTCCACATCGTTTTACGGAGCGTAAGTGGAGGGTAGATTTTATGCTGGTTAATGCTTGTAGGAGGTTCCTGGCGGCCCTCCAATCCCGTTGCAGGCCGTGCAGCTGCGCACATCCGTGAAACACACGCCCGGGTGGCCTTGCGTTCCAGTGAAGTTTCGACCGCACTATTGTGCATGCATGGTTCAGAACTTAGTTTTTTGGCTCAAAATTTGAAGCCTATTTATTCTGCGCATGGCCCTGCTTTCATCAGTAGTGTTTGTTTTAAATAGTTTTTTATTGTCGTCACATTATATATGCGGACATCAAACATATTATTATAAAAGCAGATGGTCACCTACGCAGAGGCGTATACATATTGAGACATGTAAACGGAACATGTGCAGTTAGTTTAGTGAGGCAGGTGTGTACTCTGTGAACTTTACGACATATTTCCTGGGTTTGCAGGACCTAGTGTGATTTGGGTTTGTGTATTTGTCTTGTGTGAGCTGGTTTGTGTAGATACTTTTTGTTAGCTGGTTCGTGTAGTCACCT